AATCTCATCTCCAGAAAGAAACTGAAATGTATTGTGGTTTTGCTCTTTTCAGGGTCTCCTGTCAGAAACCTATCTGGAGTGTCACAGCATTACACTCATGAACAAGACTGAGGATGATGAACTAGGTAACGAGGAGCTGACCGATGAGGAGTTGCGAAGCATCACAGGTCTGTTTGTTGGACATCACTACAATAGGAACACATAAACTGAGACCTTGGTCTTTAGTGTCTGAGGTGAATTTTTTTTCTTTATAGATGAAGGATTTTATGAGAAGCTAGCTGGCTCCATAGCGCCAGAGATCTATGGACACGAAGATGTGAAGAAGGCTTTGCTGCTGTTGCTGGTTGGAGGAGTGGAACAGGCTCCCAAAGGCATGAAAATCAGAGGTGAGGACAAACAAGATTATAACGGCAGAATCCTTTTCTTCTGTTTCATCATATTGTAACATAGCTTTCTAATACTAATTTGAATGTATAATTTTAATATAATTTATGCTCCTTTATCACGCTGGCACAAGACCAAACTTTTTTATTCCATAGGTACATTTCTTTGAAGTTGTTTTTCCTCATTAAATGTTGTAATCACTGCAGTGCTCTTACTCCGTTGTCTCTTCTTCCTCAAGGCAACATTAATATCTGCCTGATGGGAGATCCAGGAGTCGCCAAGTCCCAGCTGCTGTCCTACATTGATCGTCTGGCTCCTCGAAGTGAGTCCTGTTTGTTGTCCCCTATCTGGTTTAATGCTTTATCTAGTATGGCGTTTACTTTCCATTAGGTCCTACACTGTGACGGCTTAACTTCTGGTGGGATAGTTTGATTAGAGCACTCGCTTTTTGTTTTAATGCAAAGTTTTGAATGCCAACAGCCTGTCATATAATTGGAAGTTTTATTCTGAGTGAAGCTTGAAGTATTAACCGTTTGATCAACAGCTAATTGTAGCTTTTTCTTGTTCCCTGTCTGCTGTTCAGGCCAGTACACAACAGGTCGTGGTTCATCTGGGGTCGGTCTGACTGCGGCAGTGATGCGTGACCCCCTAACCGGTGAGATGACTCTAGAAGGAGGAGCCTTAGTTCTGGCTGACCTGGGCATCTGCTGCATTGATGAGTTTGATAAGATGGCGGATGCAGATCGAACCGCCATCCATGAAGTCATGGAACAACAGACCATCTCCATTGCTAAGGTATCCTTAATTACTGCCAGTACTCGGGGGGGGGGGGGGGGGAAGAGTATTAGGGGAAGTATCTGGAAACATTCAATGCCTGTTTAACATCCACACTCAAGTTTATTTAATCTCCCTTCCAGGCTGGCATCATGACCTCCCTCAACGCCCGTTGCTCTATTCTAGCAGCAGCTAACCCCGCCTATGGCCGCTACAATCCCCGGAAGAGCATCGAGCAGAACATTCAGCTGCCAGCTGCTCTGCTCTCCCGTTTCGACTTGCTGTGGCTCATCCAGGACAAACCAGATGCTGATGCTGACCTGCGTCTGGCCCAGCACATCACCTACGTGCACCAGCACTCCCGCCAACCGCCCTCACACTTCACCCCTATTGACATGAAACTGATGAGGTGAGAATTTGCATGTTTAAAAATGAACACATGAAGGTTATTGTTGTAGCTCAGATAATTTACTTCAAATAGGTCTGCGTAATAGGCAATATTAACTAATGACAAATGTAATTTCCATCAGGCGTTATATATCTCTGTGCAAGAAGCGGCAGCCTGTGGTGCCCGAGTCACTGGCCGATTACATCACTGCTGCTTACGTGGAAATGAGAAAAGAGGCTCGGGTCAGCAAAGACACCACCTTCACCTCTGCTCGTACGCTCCTCTCCATCCTGCGCCTCTCCACTGCACTGGTAAGAATTCCACATCCACTTGAGTAGTAGTGGGTGGCTGGAAACATTTAGAGGCCAATCTCACTGATTGAACTCCTGCAGGAGGGTTATAATTTTGTCAGACATTTGTTTTAAGAAGTGAAACAGGGTTACAATTGTTTTTCATCAAACTTCAGTGGAACTTACATTTGCAGACAAGTGTCGTATGGGGTTCGGTTGCACAACTTTTGTGGAGCTTTTAATGGAATTAAATTGTCTTGATCGATCGTCCAGTGTGGGATAAAGTGCTTACAGTGCAGGTAGTGATGATAATCTGGCCTACTGCATTGTGAGCACTTCTTTCCCACGCTGGACAAAAATCTCTGACTGCCAAAACCAGTCCCAGTAGCAAAAACGCTACACCCACTCACAACATGAATATTATTAAAAAAGCTTGAATTAAGTCTGTCTTGTATCATCTCTGCCTCTGGTTGTCAAAAGTGCTGTTTGTGCAGGTAGCAGTCATCCACCTACTGCAAAACCAGCACTTCAGGTTAACAGGTAGGCAATATGCTGCACACAGATGTCCACAAGGGGGCAAAACACAGCCACAAGCAGTATTGGTGCCACAGCTGCACATCAGCTTATTTGTGTGTTTTCAGATGACTCATTTGGTATTTTCCTCTTCATGACCACGAGGGAGCTGCTTTAATGTCTTTGCTGATCCTGGCCAGCTTTGCAGGGTGGGCAGTCAGCCTGTGTGCATAAGGACCAGCTGTGCAAACCCATGCAAAACTGACCATGGCCAGGACTGTCATCAGTGTATTCTACAAAAATCCCAAATTGATCATAACAGTATTCAGATGGGATCTTTTGTGTGCTGTTTTGATTTCATGCTATAGAGAGACTAGCTGGTGTTGAGAGGCGGAGACTTGGGCAATTGCCGGGCATCCCAGAGGGCATTGCACTTGTCTCGGTCTGACAGTGCCGGCACAGCGCAGCCTAAGTTGAGATGGATATTGTAGGATTATTTTTAACTCTTATTCGTGCATTCACTCAAACTACAGTCTTAGCATTATCTTCACCTTTAACTCCCTACTTCAGGCTCGGCTTCGCATGATGGACACCGTAGAGAAGGAAGATGTAAACGAGGCCATGAGGCTGATGGAGATGTCCAAGGATTCATTACAGGCTGACAAATCCAGCACCACAAGGTTAGAGCTAAAAACCAGGCCTGTTTTTTAAATATGGCTTTCAGTGAGCTCAGACTAACATGACTGGATGTCATCTGATTCAGAGCTGTTTTATGAGTTTCTTGCATGTCCTGAAGGAAGCTGTAAAACTTGCTTGATTTTTATGGAGCTCTGTTCACACGACAGCATGTTCAAAACGAGCAGGAAATGTAGTTTGTGCATTCGTACGTGTACATGTAGTATGTTTACATGCCTTACTTTGTGCCATTTCTGAGTAGGTTTATTCAAAATTCCTTGAGGCTTTAAAGTTAACTTTTTTTTTTTTAATATCTGCTTTCTCATCTGCAGGACGCAGCGACCGGCCGACGTCATCTTCTCTCTGGTGCGCGAGCTCGCCGCAGAGGGCCGTGGAGCCAGTGGGTTGGTTCGCATGGCTGAAGCAGAGCAACGTTGCGTCTCTCGTGGCTTCACGCCCGCCCAGTTCCAGGAGGCCTTGGAGGAGTACGAAGAGCTGAACGTGTGGCAGGTCAACCAGGCCCGCACGCGCATCACTTTCGTCTGAACAACCCGGGACACGCCTTCATGCACATTTTGTTTCAGTCACCTGAGGGAGGGTGGGGGACTCTTTGTTGTGGGTTTTCTACAGACTTGTAATGAGGTTAAGCATTTTGTAAGTCCAGCAGATGGAAGATTCTTTTTAAATATGACTCTTATTGCGAGAATTCCAGCTAATGGAAACCCAGAACTCCCGAAGAATCCTGTTAACAGTACCTTGCTTGTAAATATGTACGTCAGAAGTTAGTATTGTGAAGTATTTCCTGTGGTTTGGCTGCAAGCATCCGTTTAACATTGAGCATTTCTGTACATTTTATACTTGATGATGCAAATCAGACAAATTTATATTGAGCCTTGTATTGTGAGAGTTAAAATAAAATGATGGTTCAATACTCTGCCTGGTGCCGAGTCTTCTGTGCACATAATGTGGGATGAAGAAATGTGTATGAACACCTGGTTTCACAGTGGGGACGCCTCGCTAATCCTTTGAGTAACGCCTGCCCACAAAACATACAGGTCTGCAAGTCACAATTTTCATGTTGAAAGACAAAACCCGCACGACTTTGGGTTTGTGAGTCACTGAACCAAAGATTTCAAAAGGCTTGGATATTCAGAAAAGGCAACAAATGTTTAATGCTGCCAAATCTAGCTTTCAAAACCGCAAGCTTCCAGCTGTATGATGAATGATCCTGTAACCCACTAACACATTGTATGCACTGTCTCGGTAGAGTAACTAGTAATCATGTGTCACCTAAATGTTTTGGTCTACTGATGACATGTATCTAAATAATTGCATCTAATACAGCAAGAAGCTAAAACAATGTAAACTTGGAAATTATATTTTCATCATGGACATTATTCACAATCTATTTATCACATTTGACATCGTTATGATTGGGGAATGTGGGAGAATAACATTAAACTGACCAGTGTGTGTTATTGCATGTATGTTTAGTATGACGGCCTTCAGTAAGAATGCAGTCTGAGTATTGAACATGCCGAGACAAAGGCGGCTTTTTCTGTAGATAGCTGTCCTGTGTTCAAAAAGCAGGTGTTCACTGGGTAAAAATAACCTTTAGAAACCGGTGGTGTTTCAGAAATCTGTGAAGTCTCATTATGAATGTATGTTTAAGGCAACATGGGTTGTCATCTATGTTTTTTGTAAGCTTTTCTGGCATGGATATTGTGTTAGTAGGCAGCATTTTCACTACGGTTGCAGTTGCCCCAGCAGGTGATGCTTCACTTCCACACTTAATGGGGAGTTTCCATTTGAAGTCTGTTTTGTTTTATGGCTTTGCTGCAAAGGTCCTGAGGCTTTCTGTTCTTAATTGGCGCCAAAGGCCCCACATTAAAGTGTATTAAAAGGAAGGTGGAGACAAGATTTCAGTCTCAAAGTCGGTAGAGTCCGATTGGATAGAAGATAATGTTACAGGGTAACCGATGCTGAGATGTGTATTTAACCCACTCAGCCTTGTTCAGACCAGTGAAGACTGCCTCCCGAGTCAGGTGAGTAAAACGGGCAGATGTGTTTTCTTTACAATATTGGGTCGTGCAATAAGAAGCAAAAATATAATTTGAATTAATAAAGTTATTAATTGCAAGCCACATTTATATTCTACAGTCTATATTAATCTTTGCATTTAGAGCATCAGATTGCAGAACAGTTTTACCTGAAGACATATTTTTATGTCTTACAATTGAATTTTGGTATTAGACACATACCTTTGTTAAATGTGTAGATGTGAAATGTAATTGATTCAGAGTTATTTTGTACGAACTAACAGTTTTCCTCAAAATGATCATTTCCTTTTCTTCATGATCACAGAGGTTCAAGATGATTTCTTCATCGTGCTTGGTGGGGGCACTCTTCTGTCTTGTGTTTCTCCCAGGTCTGCTCTGCTTCTTTTACTTCACAATGTCACAGGTTCACCTCTCAAAAACAATCAAAATCAACATCCACAAATTATTTTTCATCCTCTTTCAGGCCTGCTGGAGGCCAAATCTTTGTTGAATGTCATAAAGCAGGAACGTAAGTTAAAAAAGAACAATTTTCTGAGGCTTTATGCAGCGGTGCTGTTTTTCCAACTGTTTTTGAAAGACTCAGCTTCATCTCCTCTTTTTACAGAGATGGTCCCTGTAGGCGATGTTAGCATTGATGCAGAGAAAGCAAATGATTTTCTGACTCACTCCAGACCAAAGCGTAATGCGGACCCTCGGTGGTACAGAGGAAACCCAGACTTCCAGGCTTACTACAAATACTACAGCAGCATCGGACACACTGAGGGGGTAAGAAACACTTTGGGCTTCCTGGGGTAGCCCAAATATTCACCGTCTATATAAGCACCTCAGAATGTGTCACTGTAGGTGTTCTTTATTTTAAACATTCTTTGTAGTAACAGAAAACTGTGACAAGTCACCTTTGCAGACCAGCAAATGTAAGATTTTAGCTAATAAGGATGTTAAATTTTGAATTCAGTCCAGGTTCTGGTTGTTTAAAATCAGCACCAACATGTTGTATCTGGATGTGGAAGATTTTAAATCTAAACCTTCATAGTTTAAAAAAAAGCAGGAAGAAAAAAGATTTTTCATTTTGATCTCAGAGGGTCGGGATTTTGGGATTCAAAACACATCACCTCTCGGCTTAGTCGAGAAGTGCAATTACAACTGAGCTTTTTAATTTAAAAACACATATAATCATGAACGATTTCAGATTTTAAATGTGTCTCAGGGTTTCTTTCTTAACCAACTGAAGATTATAAATCTACTTGTGGCAGCTTTTTTTTTTTTTTGCAGTTTGATGCTACATAAATAAACCTGAGTTTGTCTTTCCTTTACTCTTTTTCCGCCTCTCAGCTCTATGAGATCGACAAGCTGCGAATGCTCTACCAGCAGATGAGGTACCTGGAGCACACCTACGGCCCTGATGCTTCCTATTTCCAGAGCAAACTGGGAGTGCCTATGATCATGTGTGACCCAGCCACAGACAAGAAGTGCAAAGTTGTTGCTCCTCCTCCTCCTCCACCGCCAATGAAAGGGGTCCCAAGACCCACAGAGCCTCCTGCTCTTCCTATTGCTCCAGCCATTTCACAGGCCGATGTGCTCTACCTGTGTAACCAAAAGGACCCCCTCTGCAAGCCTCACATTGTCTACATGCCCACAGGTGCAGTACCTGTGCTCTGTGACCCTCGGTACCACCCCCACTGCACTCCCCAGAAGGTTGCACCAGCTCCCGTGGCAGTGCCTCAACCACCTCCTCCTAAGAAATCTGGCCCACCTCCACCTCCCCCAGTCTTTGTCAAGAAGTCTCCCCCAGCTCACATCCGCACCTTTAAGGGCATGGAGTACGATTGTGACCCCTACTGGGATCCCGACTGCCTGATTGACAACCCACCCAGGCCCATCAAAGGAAAGGTTGTGGTCCCGCCACCCCCTCCGGTCGAGGAGGAAGAAGAGGAGGAACATGTGGAGGAGCCAGCACCTCCTGCACCCATTAAGAAAGTAACCTACTACCCTCACCCTTACTACTACCAGCACCCTCTACCCTACAACCCCAGGGATGATCTGTACGATCCAGCCCGCTTCCAGTACCCACGGCCTGCTGATGCTGCTGATGAGCCTGCAGAGGAGAGCCAGTAAAACATCCAGAGGGAGCAAAACAGACTATGAAAACATCCAAGTTGCACACTTTCACATCTTTTATATGTAATGTCAATAAAACCAATGTCTTAGCGCATTTTTAGATGCAGTGTAATTACATCGATGACTCAATGTGTAACTGCCAGTATGTGAAAAACCAATTTTCTTTTTGACAAGAATAAATTGTAACAAATCAGTTTTTCACCAGCGAGTAGCATTTTGAGTTGGAATATCCTTTTTGAAAGGTGCAAAGTAGCCTCAAAGGGAAAGCTTTGCTCCACCCATCGCCACATGGCAGGTAAAAATCACTTGTGAAGTACCAGCATGCATGCTGGGAGGCCATTATGTCTGTTCTGCTGTACATTTAATAGCCAAATAAATGCTGACTCCTGTTATTTTCCATACACTCTGGAGCAATAAGTCACCCTGCAGTCTTTTTCCTGCCTCTCTGTCCAAAACCTATAAGGGCAATCAAACAGCAGGAACACAACTTCAGTGGGTGATCTGCAAACGTGCTGCTACTGCCAATAAACCTCCAGCTAGGCGAGCTCCACGTAGCAGACTTTCATGTGCTCATTTAAAAGTGCAGCTCTGACTTTTTTTAATGTGCTTCGTTGACAGAAGATTCAAAGTCTCATGGGGAAAAAAACGAAAAATCAGCAGATCATTTATTACATACAGGAACATGAAACAGTAAAACAAACTGGGTAAAATAACAGAACGTTCATGTACAGTGGACTCATTGCTGTGCAGACCCACCAAACAGATGAGTGACTTTGTACATAGCTTTTAATGATCGGTGCTTTTAGATACACTTGTGGTTGGAATTTTTTAACTGCTCTGAAAAGCTACGGTTGGTTTAAGAACTGCTTTTTAGCTAATCAAAGTAGAAACAGACAAAAAAAAACAAAGAAAAGAAAAAGACAGAACAGAGAATAATAAACTGCGGTGCTCGTTTTGATTCTCTGCTTTGCTCAAAAGAAGAGTCCTCTCATCCTCCGGCCGATGCCCTGTCTGTCGTACAGGACGTTGAACTTGTTGATGAACTGATTCATACTGTTGCAAGTCTTGGTGATAGTGCCTAAGTAGGCCATGAGGCCGACGTCATTACATTGCTGCAGGGTAAACAGAAGAACGGCGTCAGGGAGTTCTCACTTTTACAGCACAATGAACAGTAACATCATCACAACAAGAGATATTTAATCATAAATTAATTTTTCCTTGTGACTCAGACTTCTTATCTTATCTAACTGACCATCTTTTATTGCTGCTTTCATTTTATTATTGTAGTATTCGATGTCGATGACAGCAAAACGTGCAGCAAAAAGGGTGCAGCTACACTTTGATAAAATGAGATGTGAGCTTTGATTTTAGGATTGTGTTTGTCTTCTGTTTTTGGACCCAGTACTTGGGAACACTGGGAAAGATTTATGTAATGTGGGTAAAAGTAAAGAAATAGAGAGTGGAGTACACTGTGTAAAAGTGACTAAATAATCACCAGCTGTAAAAATACATCCCACTGCTCCGTTAATTTCTTGTACACTGGCAGATTATTAAAAAAAAACAATGGAAAAATACCTAAAATGACTTCACGCGTCTTGCATAGAACTTATCAAACTGAAGATTGGTGACTTTTTGCAATACAGTTGCACGATTTAGGAGCTGCTTTTCATTTATTTTCTATCTCATCAAAAATGATCCACATGCTTTATGTGGCTGGTGCAGCAATGGGGTCAGTTTATAAACTGACGCATTTGTCTTTACATCTTTACCAACTACAGCAAATGCTTGAAAAGTACTTTGAGCATTTTATGTGTCTCGATACGCAACGAAAATTTATTTGGCTCTAAACTGTCCACTGAAACACTGTAGTTCCATCTTTATAATTACATGTAAACACATCACATTTGAATACACTGATCCCTGAATCGCGTGTTTCCCTGCCTGTTAACTGTTACAATGCTGCTAAATATTAGCTATATTTAAAAACTGTTACCAAAGAGAGGCAAGTTAGATTATTCCTTTTCTCATTTTTCCCGGGATTTTGACCTGCCTTGGTCCATCTGTGTGTGTGTGAAGGAGCAACAAAGATTACTTACATCATAGAAGTCAGTTTTGAATTTTATGGTGCTGAGGACTGGCAGTCTGTGGCACAGGGCGTTTGCTTCTCGAAGGATCTCATGATTAAATGGCACCTCGCCTGTGAGAAACAAATAAACAGCACGCTGGAAAATGTTGAGTTTGTCAAGAAACTGTCAAACAGAAGCTTGTAATTACAGAGGGGCATGTTTGAGGGGCCTCCTTTAAAAAAAAATGAAGGAGAGGAAACATCTCATTTAAAAACATCTGCTTTTCAGATTTATTTTCACATTCTTCGCTCTCACTCAGTCATTAAACGACCCCCTCATCCTCTCACCTGCTTCCACGGCTTTGACGTACTCTAGAATGATCTTCACTCGGCTGTGGAGCATCTTTATCGCACTGTGCTGGGCTATAAGGTGTTCAGCAACTAACACAGAAGAAAGACACCAAACAACACAGTTAAACCCCCGATTCATTTTGATGGTGACCAATAAGACGCAGGTCACAGGACAGCTGACTGATGGAGGAGACACCATGTGACACCATGCCCTAACTGACAGCTTGTTACACCTCATTTAAATCATTTATTTCTGGGTTTACATGGTTGTACAATGTAAAAATTTCCCCCCAGTGTGAGGCAGAAAGTTTGGAGAGCTACTGTAAAACCCTGAGGGAGAAAATTCAGCTGAAAGCATCTAATCCGTGGATCCTGCCACCATGCATGTGGCAGCCCATGGCCTAGGTTCACCTCTTTTTTGACTTTGCCCCCTTCCTAACATGACTTTAACACTTGAGAAGCTCTAGTATGCATCACAGAGGCATGAGTGCAGAAAGACAAAACTAGAGAACGGCCAAACTGAAATTGTAGAAGGTGTTTTTGCTGTTGTTGTATTTTTTTTAGTCATACCTCGTATCACAAATCATTTGTATATTGCATTTTTTAAAGGAAACACATTTTCATAAAAAGTAGTCAAGTCTGCCTTTAATCTTTGACAACAGCGCCTCTAACCGTTTCTAAGCCTAGAAACTCAACAAAGCTACAAAAGCCATTTCCTTTGGATTTGAAGCTGGAGAAAAGCTCTGATTTACCACCTTTTGTGGCTTATTGTTAAATAAAGAATGCTTAATTGGCAACAATTCATGACTATGATCAGTGTGTAGCTAGTAGAACATGTACAAGTAATTCTTGAGGCAACAGCTTGTCTTGCCTGTTGAGTTTTCTCCAGTGCCGGTGGCCGTCATACGAGCTACGTGGTCAACGCCAATTCTCTCCGCTTCCTCTGTGGCCAGAGTGTACGTCAGCTCAGCAAATAACATGGTGGCCTGAAAACAAACAAACAAACAAAAACAATACATATCAGATGAAACTGAAGCATCTGTGGCAATCAAGATTAGACGTGCACTAGATAAAAGTGGAAGTAAACTATACCTCGCCACTGATGATGTCAATGACAGATTCATAAACGCTAACAGGAAGCTGTGGGACAAAAGAACACTGTTTAGAGCAGAGGCGTTTGTGTTTGTACCAGTGACATCGTTGCTGAAACAATGCAAATGAACTCACGTCCGTGTGTTTGGTCATTGGGTTAAGCTTCAGGAAAAGAGGGCTCTCAATGATCTCGCACACCTGCCAGGAAGTAGAGAAATGAGGGTAAAAGCAAACGATCTGAAATATCCAGCATCATGTACTTGTGTGTAGACTCTATAGCAGTATAAAGGCATGTGTTAACGTACAACACAAGTGGAGCAGGTGTGTATGGGGTTTTAAGATATTTAAAAGCTTAAAAGTGATACATTTTGCTTCTGAAACATTCATGGTCACAGTACACGTGTCAAAACATCGACATCCTGCCACCTGTCAGTGGGCTTCAGTGTCTGCCTACCTGCTTGTGAATGTGGATATCTGACTGGTCTGGAGGACCACCTGTGGTGTACCAGCCCAGAAACTCCATGTCTTTGAAGACCTGTTTGACTGAGAGACCAGAGGACAAATGTAAAAACAAAATGATCTGATGACTTGACTTACTGATAAATAAATATCTGAGAGGGGCTTGGAGAACATAGTCATCAACGAACTCTCTCACAGTGACATGAAAACTGAAGAGATTTTTTTTTTCTCATGCTCCGCTTTTTTCAAGGTTACAGCAGTTAACTAAACAATATAGTGAACTTACGAAACAAACTACAGGTTTAAGTCTTTGTCATTTTAATAAAATGTGTTAAAAAATACAAATTAAAAAAAAACCCTGCTTGATGAGGCTTTGTTGCAAATGCTTACAGAGGCTCGGGATGTCTCCACGACTGTGAGTCAACTGCCTTCATAAAGAGTTGTGTTTTTGTTATAATCACTGTTCTGATTTTCTGGAAATTAACAGGAACTGACTTGAAAAAAAAAATTACAAAATCCAAAGCAAGAGGCAGAGATCGAGAGTTTTGGTAGTTTTTATGTCATTTTGACCAAAAGACTTGTGTGTAAATCATTTACTTATGGCTCAACAACTGGATCCAATGCTGCCATCTTTTGGTCAAGTGTCAGGAATCTCCCTTCACGTGTTTTACTCCTTGCACATCCAAACATATTAACAATGTATCTGTACTCTTTGGGAACTGAAACTCCAAAACTACAGAGTCCCATTCTGGCGTTCAAGACTTATCAATTGTTGTACTGTTTATTGTTCTTCGTGTGGGAAGGTCAGAACACAGATAGAAAATGTCTCAATTTAATAAAGGAGGCAAGGACAAAACTAGAGTCTAAGTCTAGAAAAACAAATCACGACAAACTGACGTGTGAACTGATTTTCCTGAATGATGATTACGCCAGTGTTACTAACTCCAGCTACCGAACAACTGAGTCATTAAAGAAGATGCACACACAAATATGTGCATTATTGTCCTTAACACTTGAACAAAGCTTACACTGTTCCTCCTTGGTGTAGTAGTACTCCTTGTCAATGTGCACTTTGTCGTCTATGGTGTGAGACAGCAGCTCAAAGGAGTTCATCACCTCGATGTTTCGACCCTCCTGTTTCCCAATCAGAGCTCCTATCACTGAGCAGAGACAAACACAACAGCATATGTTTATCTTTAACTTAGACTTTTATTCCATAAGCCCAATATATATGTGATAGGATAATGTGTTGTTTTTTCACACATACCCTGCATCGGTCGGCCCTCCTGCGAGCGGATGCGTATCCAGTGATCGGATATGTTTAGGATAACCAGAGGGTGTAAGGCCACAGAAACACTCCCAGTGACCCCTGAGGCCATAACACTGGGGCTGGCTACAATCACACAAAGACACAAACATGATTGGGATTAACAGTATGTCAATGACAATATATAAAAAAGTCAAAAAACTTGTTAACTGGAAGCACTTTGTCAAATTCAAACAATTACCGGAAAGCCAGACAAAGAGTTTCCATCTCAAATCAACCATCGCAGAATTTTATCGTCACAAACTGTAAAATTTTACCTTCGTATGATATCAATGAAAATGTGTCGATGGACCATTTTTGAAAAGAATACATCTTGAAAAATGTTTGATATATGAAGCTACAAATTCACAGCAACCAATATATATGTATCCAATCTGTGGACCATAGCCTTTTTAGGCAAATCTGAGATAGTTGTGCAAAAGGGCAACAGTGACCCAGGTACAAACGGAAATACTTCTTCAAATCCAAATAATTACTGGAAAATTAGGAAAAAAGCAACAGTGATTAATATGGTCCAATCAGATTAACTGGAAAGTTAATCAACAATGGATCAGCCCTGTTTCGGTATACGTCTAATCAAACTGCATGTATATGTGGAACACAAGAAAATAAGCAGAGACACATCAATAGCGGTAAATCAGTATGGCCCCAAAACAATCAATAACGTTTGACCAATGCATAACAGACAAAATAATAAGAGAGATTATTTACACTCGGATTGTAGCTGATGACAATAATCACTGAGCTCCAGAGCCAAGCAACAGTACACAGTTTTCTTTCCATTCAAAATAAGTGACTGGATATATCCTTTTGGCATTAATCATCTGTTTAGTTTGGCACAAACGATCATTCTCAGGATCGTTCCTAAAAGGTTAAATAGCATATACAATCATAAAACGAGTTCCACAGTTTCCCAACAGGACACCTGGACAGGTAGATGAGTCAGCGAGGTGCCCAATGACAGTTTATAAAGTTAATAAAACGCGACTCTGAGCGGTCGCCCTATGCTCGCTACATACAGTCATTTTAATGTATATGTAACTATTCACACAGATATAGGCCTGCATGTCGGTTTCTCTCATGTATAGCTAATGTTGACGTGTTTGGTGTTGCAGCACTGCCACAGCATTTTAATCAACTGCACATGATGTTAGCTTTTACTTCAAATTTCTGATGCAAACTCCTGTGGCAAAGCAGAGGGAACTGCCTGAAATATCCACACAGTGATGAATGTACTGACAGCTTCACAGAGCTGAGTACGTTAACCTGCTATGTCAGCGAGCAAGCTCCTTACGACCCTTTAACACCACGGAGTCGCCACTTCCGCTCACTTATAACACACAAAACAACATATACGGCAACCTGCGCGCAGGTTTTGGTTGGTGTGGACAGAAACGATGAGATGAGGGATAAATACTCGCCTGCCCCATCCACTTCCATTCCTCCACCATTGCTGGTCGCCATCTTGTCCGGTAATCCGCGCAGGCGCAGTGGACTGTTGATGCAAAGGACGTTAAGTGGCTCTTCGCGGGGCTCTTTTTTAAAACAAACCATGCCGCATATTCACGGTCATAAACCTGATGGGAGTTTATAGAAACATAGGCTCTTTGGGTCGGGGAACGTTGTGTTGAGCTTAAAGCCGCTGATTTGATTTAACTGCCCAGCGGCCGCTCGGTCACACAGTCAGTGGACCGGTGTTTCCGGGGGATTTCTGATTCGGGCGCAACCCGTGTGCGTTCATGTACCATTCCGTGTGTGAGGTTTGAGAGTTTTGTTTACAAAATGGAAGAATTTAGGGGCTGCAATCTGGACTACTTTCCCGAAAACATTTTAATCGATGTGTTGTCCTACCTGAACGTACGAGAGGTCGTCAAAGCCGGGAGGTAAGGGGATTTCAACTTTGCTCTCAATGATTTACTAGTTAATCGTCGTTTAAAACAAAACTCAGGTTTTCGTTTGTTTTGTCTTTTGTTATGTGATTTGTGCATATGTTTATATATTTTAAATTGTGGTTTTAGGGTATGTAAGAGGTGGAAACGCCTTGTTAAAGACCAAAGACTGTGGAGAAATGTCGACCTGACTTCATGGAAAGGGGTAAGGATGCTGTTGCCAGTGTGGCTTCATCATTTTTCGTTTCTTCTGTTAATGCAGGCCAGGCATTTAGTAATCTAGTCTGTTACTTGGGGATAATAATAGAAACAAACCCATAGCGATAACTTTTTTTTTTTGATAAAGATGAACGACTGGGAGCTGTTGACTCATGTTTTAATTTATCCTCTCACATTAAAGCACTGGTTTTAACTGTATCATCAAATAAAAATACAACACCGTGATTTTCCTGTCTCAAAACGGGCCCACTTATACAGTTGTCCTGAGATATTTATAGATGCATCATGGGCATGAATGCCACAGGAATTTGGGTCTGTGTAGGTTCTCAGTCATCCAGGTCATGGTAATCCAAGGCGCTTGGAAAGAAAAACGACTGGACTGCTTTAAGTTTCTTGAAGACATTTCACCTCTCAGTTCTAAGACCAAACGACCCTCTTAAGGGACAACTCCCACTAGAGCTGAAATACCTGGGGCTTTCCACCATTTGGTCTTAGAACTGAAGAAGCTTCTGGGGTGAGAGGTGAAATGTCTTGAAGAAACTTAAAGAAGTCCAGCCATTTTTCTTTCTAAGCTCTTTACATAGGAATTTGGGGCTTTTCATAATTTCTTTGAACTGTTCTTTGTCCGGGGTGGAATAGAATAGTACAGAACACAGCTTTAATGGCTTTAAAGAGGAAAAAGTAGATGCACAAGTTTGAATCAAATCCACACATACAACCCCAACTAATATTTGGTTAATATAAATATTGGTTGCACTTCAGTTAAACACTTTCGGTAGCCATCAACAAGCTTTTGGTGCAACAGTAGCTGGGTATTTAACCACTCTTCTTTGCAGAATTGGTTGAGTTTAGTTAAATTGGTTGGTTTCCACATGGAGCCAGCTTTTAAACATAGTCTACAAGTTTTCAGTACAACTGACGTTGGAGCTTTGGGAAAGCCATTCCAGGAGCTTAGCCTGGTTTATCCATCCCAAAGCCAGTTTTGACATATCTTTGTTTCAACAACCTAGTTGCTGATTTGAGTCTTAGGCCATCTATTGGCAGTTTCTGAGCTGTTACTAGTCATTCTTAACAGCCATCCACTAATATTTTCTCTTGGCTGGTATGTGTTTTTCTATTGTATGTGTATTTTAGTTTCTTTGATAGTGAATAAAATTGTGTATTGCTTTTTAAAGCCCCTTGTAAAGCATTTTGAAATGCTTTTGTGTGTAAAATATGCTCTAAAAATAAACAATGAGCATCATTTAATAACACATGGGTTGTGTGTTTGTGCAGTTATTGACTGTTATTGTTTCTCTCTCTCAACACACACATATTCATGGACTGTCCACTGTGTGTTAGGTGACATCCCGCATCCTTTGGGTCCTGCTGCGTCAGTACCTGGGTTGCGGACTAAGGTGCCTTCGCTTGCGTGGTTTGCTGCTGTCCGCACGTGGCGGAACCTTTCTCTCTGAGTCTTGGCTTAAAGTTTTGTCCACAAAATGCCCTCGACTGAGTAAGCTCTATCTTCTGCATGCAGACCTGAGAAGCCTGCCCAGTTGCCAGATCCTACCTCCATCTTTGCAGGTGCTGGAGCTGCGGGGTTGTGAGCTGCCTCGTGGCTTCTTCAATCAGACCCTGCCATCAGCTAGTCCCCAAGAAAGAGCAGAACCCACATCCAGTGTTGGTGCTCAACTGAAAGGAAGGAACCAGAAAGGAAAAGGGGCTGGCTCTCCTTCAGGGATTGGTATTGAGAGGTTAGTCCTTAACAATGTGCCCTCTTTTACAGACCAGCACCTGCAGGGTCTGACATCATGGGAGAGGCTATGTCATCTAGAGCTACGTGACACCTTTCGTGTAACAGCTAATGGGCTTAGAAGCTGTGCTGCCAAAGATGGTGTCTGTGGTGTAGAAGGGCTTTCCAGGCTCAAGTTTCTGGAAATAGGCATTACAGGGCGGCAGGGCTACCAGTTACATATGGCCTCCCTTGGCTTGGGGGCTGGCTGGCTTGGGCTGGAGGAGCTAAGTCTTGGTGGAAAAGAGGTGGGTCCAGGTTTGCTCTGCGCCAGCCGCTTGAAAGACCTGAAACGTCTGCGCCTGTGGGACTGCACACTCAGCGAGCTGCAGATAGCCCGGAGCTGCAGGATGCTCCGTGGACTTCGCCAGCTGGAATTTGTGGACGTCAGGTTCCAGCCTCGTCAGAATCCACCAGCAGAAGAGGGGGAGGGCGGTGAGGAAGAAGAGCAGGACAGAGAAGAAGCTGCAGGTGCAGATGGCAGCAGCGACGAGAACAAGATGGCAGATATGAATGATCCTATTCCAGGTCTGCGTCGCACACTGGCTGTCCTGCTGCCATCCTGCACACTGGTGTTTACCAACTGCTCTGTTCAGAATAATGAAGATTGAATGAAGCTATATGCTGCTATATACAAGCAACCCACATGGGATTAAAAATAAATAAATAAAACAATAACAACAAAAAACTGTTACATAGGCTTTTAGATCATGTTGATATAAGTAGAACCCGATTCAGAATGCTCTGTCAACTTTTTCTGACAATGCCACAATAAGTCCATAAATAAATAAATAAATAATTTTAAAAGTCTGCTCACAATGATCCATGTTTATAGTATTTTTAGGCTTTTAGAATGAAGTAACAAAAACTGAATAGCTGTACACAGTAATGTATTCAAATGTATTAAGGGTTTATTGAGCGATTAAATAAAAAAAAAAAATAGTATGTATAAAAATAAATGACTTCCTCGACAGAATTACCTTTGAGTGCTTTAGAGGAGGATTGCAGTTTTCAGCAGTGCAAGAACAACAATAAATGTTTTGGCCCTTTATTTAGCTTTTTACAGTATTATGTTCAAAATGTTACTTGTCTTGATTAAAGCTGACTTAGAAGTAAGAGATATATTGTGATATGGTGTTTTCTGAAAAATCTGATTGGTAACAGTTGCATAAAACTTCCAAACTGAATTGTCTGTCGTTGACAAATCAGATTACTTCATCACATTGATGCAAACATCATGAAAAACATCTTTCTCGTCAGTTTGCAAGGTTGCCTCATAAGCTGAGGTTACTACATTATGAAAGTTAAGAAAAAACATCTGTCGTCAAAGACACAAATTATATTGTCTTAAGGGATATGTCATGATCTCCTACAATACTCAGTTTCTTTGAGGTAAGTCAGTGGGAAGTCTCTCCTTTTTAGTGCTTAGAAACTCTAACGGTATGAAATAAAATGCAGAACAGTTGCTGTTGGACTGTAAACAGATAAGCAGGTGTAAGCTACAAAGACAAATAAGTCATGATCCACCTGTTTCCTGTTCTTTACCACTTATCAACAGCGTATACTGTCAGAAAACATATATTTTACTCTGTTTGGTTGGGTGATGCACAGGATATTGTTGGGTGTTGCATATGTGTTTTGTAGAAACTGAGAACAAAAAGCAACCGCTTATCCTGAATGTGTGTATATTGTCTCAGTTTTAGGAAAAAACATGGAAGATTTGTGTCATCATACCGAAGTGTGTTGCATTTAAAGCAACCATTCAATGAAGGTTCATCTTGTGAAGAACAAATTGTTCTGAATAAAGCTATTTTGATGAAGTAAACCCAGAATTTGTGCTTGAATACAAATACGGTATGTCGACTGCACCTTTAAAGATGACTGATCAGTTTGTCATGAAACTGCATGTATCATTTTTCAAGGTCAAATACTACATTTTATCTTCTTTTACATAGGTGATTTCTTGTCAGCTTCAGAAAATTGTCACGGGTCATTTCTCTTGTTTTGAGTGTTGGAGTGGCCAGTAACGGTTTTTGAAAAGTGGAAAGACAAGAATTTAAATGAGTAAGTATTAATCCTACACAAGTAGCTTAATGGTACACAAACCGTATAATCAAAATTAAAAGCATCTTAATTAAAAGTAATTATGGGATTAAAAGTTTGGATTCATGAATTTATATATGATATGCAGTATATTTTGCAGCTGGAAATTGTTTTAATTTTTTATATTCTACACAACAAAGAATTTAACACCTACATACCGTTGAGTTCAAATTTGTCCAGTGTGAACATTTCACATTGAAAGTGACCCAATATACACATAGATTAAAATGGTTAAAAATGTTATACTCTTGTAAGGGTGCTATGAATTTTTGTACATTACGGCTCTTACTGGTCAAATTTGAGCCGCAGCTATTTGGATACATTTTAGATCCACCATAGGTCAATAGGTCAAATCAAGGAAGACATTGGTTTTAGAGACTCTTGAAACTAAACATGTACTGTTAGTAAAACAACATAGATGTGATCATATATGGTGCACCTGTTTTACCCATTTCAGAACAGGTGAGTGGGAAAAACATTCAAGTCCTACATACAAAGTTTCCTACCACTGCCCTGAATGCACAAACTATTTGCAATTAGCTTTTTATGTGCTCCAAGTGTCGATTAATGTTGAAGTAATGTTGCTAATTATATATAATAGTTATGAGGGATTGTCTGCAATAGCAGTGAGGACACTATTAAACAACTGAAATTTCTTGCCATTTTCACTTTCAGTAAATTAATAAGTATAGCTAAATCAAAATAGCTTTTATGGCTGTTGTGTTACTGTATGATGATTTTCTGCAAAATAAATGTTGTAAATTTGAAAATACACTTCCCATACTCTTTATTAAGGACTAATCAACCATTTATTATTATTGTCAGGTAGGCTATTTACCGCATACATTTTAATTGAGAGAGCCAGAGAAAAATGTTTTTTAAAATGTAATTGTTACTTATAACATGTATGTAACTTTGTAATTTTAACATGTTGTCGCCTCTTGGCCAGGACTCCCTTGAAAAAGAGGTTTTTAATCTCAATGGGACTTTTCCTGGTAAAATAAAGGTTAATAATAATAATAATTAGATCAGTGGTTTAAAAAATGGTTAAAATGTATGGAGTTATTTATGAGGGAATTTTTGGGCCAATATAGACTAGAACCATACCGTGAAGGCATTAAATCTTCAGTATGAAATAATAAGTATAAAGTAAATGACGTATAAAGTAAAATATTTGCATTTGTGAAGTAAGATTTGAAAGTAGCATAACATAGAAATGAAGTAAAATACATTCAAACCGTACCAGGTGTATCAGGTACTGTTGGTTTTCTGTCACGTGCTTGAATTTTGTAGATTTTAGCCAATGAAAAATTAGGCCTTTATGGACGCAGACAAAGGATATAAATGCTGTATACAGCCTACATACATCACATACCGTGGACGTTACTCCTGCTTTTTAAAAATAATGTACAGCATGTGGGCGGGACCACATCCACCGCTCACCAATGACACGCTGCCCCTTGCAGCGCTTTTATCCAATGACTGTTCTCTAAGTGTGCGAAGCTCACCAATCACGTTCGTGAAGATTAGCTTTTTGAAAACGCTGGCGGCCGAGGAAGTTCTGGGTTACAAGATTGAGGTTTTCACGCTGTAAATTTAATACTGTTTTTCCTTCACTACGATGCAGGTAATTCGATATTTATACATTTATGTCCAAGCGTTACCGAGTAACAGTTGATAACAATTTAAACTCCGTATATAATGTTTACGTAGACGTAAATTTTAGCTTAATTTAGCTAACCTTGTGCTTGCAAGCTAGCTTAGCAGACTAACGTGTAACGTTAACTCGAGGTAAAAAGATCACAGGTAGTATATTCTATGAACGAGGCAGTGTTTTCTACTTCGAGTTAAGTTAATGTTTTCCTTAAAGGTGATCAGTACAGTGACTTGTACTGCAATTGTTTGAACGCTGACTTTAAATGACAGAGGCCCGGTAAACCTTTTTCTTTGTTTAACGATTAATTTAAATGTTTAACTCGTTGATCTTCAATCCAGTAAGTGTAATTTATGAACACTATATAAAGCATTGAACCAGCATATCTAAGGTCAGTGTGGCGATCAAGTCATGATAAAACAAGGCGTCTTTACCTCTCAAACCGGGTAAAGAGTTGTGGTGGGTAATTCAGCCACCCACAGACAGTGTTTCCTTCTCGGTTTTGTATATGATAATGAAAACCAGCTGAAATCAAATATATTACTGTCTCTGGCACTAGAAAACGCTTTAGATGTGTGCACAATTTAAAAAAAACGAGAGGGGATGGAATCTAGAAATAATCTAACCATCGGTTAGGTCGCAGTAATAGCCGTGTGTGCTCTCCATTATATTACTTTATTTTACACACTAAGTATTAACTTGAAGTGGAGGGTGGCTCTCCAACTTTAGGAACGTGTTACACCCTGTGCTATTTTGGCGTAAAACAGGAAGTGACAGTGATTGTAGAGGTGGCCCTTCCAGTAAGTAAAAGCATACAAATTCTGTTTTGCCTCTAGAAAGATTATTGGCGACCTGAACCTAGTTTAGATGCTGTTGCATTAAGTGAAGAGAGCTGTTAAATAAAGATCTCCAAGAAATACTGATGAACTGAAACAGTTTGGTAAGGAGAAATATTCCACCATTCATGTTTGTCATTGTGCATGCATCATAAGTTATACATGAGGAAAGTTTCTACAATTTACATAAATTCACTACAGCTCAGTGTGTGTGTGTGCACGCTAAGAAATGAAAAGAACATCTGGTTGTGCTTAATGATTGAAATCAGAATGTAATTGTGACTTGGATGAACTTCAGACCATATTTTATAAGTAATCTATTCAGACATTGAGTTAATTCCAAACTCTTGGTTAAAGTCACCATTAATGATAAACAGGGAAAGCACTGAGCCTTGACACAACATCCTAGGTTATGAGTTACAAAGTGTGCCTTAATCTCTTGCTTGCTTCCCTTTGTTGGTTGTCTAAAATAAGTATAAAGCTAAAAGCAAGGGGGGCACAAAATAGCTCAAATGTACTGTTTTAGTGAGTTGTATTTATTTCTTTACAGAATAAGGAAAATTACGAGCCCAGAGGTCTTCAAAGACCAGTAAGTATGGAAATTGTAAAAGATTATGTTGCTTGGCCCATTACTGTTAACTGTGCTTAAATCTAGCAAGCACATCTGATTCAGCTTGGAGTGAGGTGTTATTAAAATACCGAAAGTCACTTTGAGCAAATCAAAGAATATATGTAGGTAAAATTTTGTAGTAGTAGTTGTAATATTAATAAATGAGTGATTTAGCCATAGTGCAATGAATAAATCACTTATAGCTGTGTTTTTGTGTTTGCTCTTGATGTCAGTTTGCCACACCGAACCTGTCAGGCCCTCAGCGAGTTGTGGTGAAGCAACGAGCAGACACAATGAAAAATACTGTCACAGGTAAGTCTTTCCTTCTGTGCAGATGCTGATAAGACCAAGGTTATTGTAGTTAACTAAACTAAAACTGAATATTGGGGGGAAACTGATTAAAATAGAAATGAAAACTAAAGTTTAAAAAAATCCATATACCTGGAAAACTACATTTAGAGAAAAAACGAAAACATAACTAAATTAAAATTAAAAGACAGAAAATTAAAAGGTAAACTGAAGTGTTCATATCCACTCTGGAAACTGACTGAAATTGAATTTGAAACAAAGTAAAAATGAAATTTAAAAACTAATCGCAAAACACAAACCTATGATAACTGATTGAGACCCCTCAGGAAATTTTTAATTGCTAAGTTTTAATTGTGGTGTTATTTTTAGGTCCTGCGAGAGAATGCATTGGCTCGTCCTCCAGCTCAGCTTCAAAGTAAGTGTACTACCTAAGGCTAGTTCTATATTCCTGATATGTTGTCTTTGTCCTGAATATTTAAAAGAACTTTTATTTGTTTTTATTTCAGGAAAATTTCCATTGATGACTTTGACATTGGTCGGCCACTTGGAAAGGGAAAATTTGGAAATGTCTATCTTGCGAGAGTGAAGAAACTCCAAGCAATTGTGGCACTGAAGGTGTTGTTCAAGTCTCAGATGGAGAAAGAAGGTGTGGAGCATCAACTCAGGAGAGAGATTGAGATTCAGGCCCATCTCAAGTTAGTATCCTGCTTCTTTGTTTTTTGTTTTTTTTTTGGCTCTACTCCCTTTTGTCATCTTAGGCACACTGAGTTTACAAACACAAGTTTAATTTGTTACACAATATGTGTTCAAATAATAAGTGTGGTGATACATTCATTGAAATGTACAAAATAACCTTTTGTAGGACTGTCCCGTTTTAGGGCGATTATAACAACCGTCCTATAATTCACACACGTTTGGCAGGCTATGTGCTACCCTCCACTGTCTCCTGCAGGGACATTCAAATGGTCGAACAATGCTGAGAGCTGTGTACTTCTATATCTAAACATTTCAATGATTTGGGTAATTTCAAAAAAAATCTTTAACTGTGCCATTGCTATACACTGAGAAATGTAGTTAATGTCTGTTAACCAATGATTTACATGTATAATGCCTCTGGGGACAAGATATACAAAGAAATGGTGTGTTCTCAGTGGTTTATTTGTCTCTTATAGATTAGGCTGATATTGTATAAATGCATACTATATAATGGCTGCTTATATTTGGTGCATTTAGCATGCTGATTTAAATCTCTTCTGCTTCATTTCCTCAGGCATCCAAACATCCTGCGCTTCTACAATTACTTCCATGACCGTAAGAGGGTGTTTTTAGTGCTTGAGTACGCCCCACGTGGTGAAATGTACAAAGAGCTTCAGAGATGTGGCAGATTTGATGATCGGCGTACTGCCACGGTAAGAACTCAACCAGAATTGTAGTGACAAAAAATTCTTTACTCTGAACTGCAAAAATAGTGAAGTTATAACCTAATGCCAACCTCTTTAAAATTCTAGTACATGGAGGAGATATCTGATGCACTAATGTATTGCCATGAGAAGAAAGTAATTCATCGTGACATCAAGCCTGAGAATCTTCTTCTCGGTTATCGTGGAGAGCTGAAAATTGCTGATTTTGGTTGGTCAGTCCATGCACCTTCTCTAAGGTGAGGAACCACACTGTCACTACTTCACTTTCTTTACGATGCCTGTTCACCCTGCCCTGCTCACCTTTTTTTAAACCTTCTCAGACGTCGCACAATGTGCGGGACACTGGACTACCTTCCTCCTGAGATGATTGAGGGACACACCCATAGTGAGAAGGTGGACTTGTGGTGCATTGGCGTCCTCTGCTACGAGTGTTTAGTTGGCAACCCACCGTTTGAAACAGCAAGCCACTCAGAAACGTACAAAAGGATTATGAAGGTTGGTGTTTATCTGCATGTGTAATGCACTTGGTCAGTCAAATCTCATGATTAAGTTACAAGTTTCAGTCATAGAGAAGAAGCTGATTTTACTGTAGTGAGAGAAGCCATTTAGGTATCACTCTAGTCGAGCACTTGTTTCCCTTTAGCTCTTACTTTATACTAAAAAAGGAAAATTCTTGTAGGTTTTTCATTATTTCTTCTGGGAATGTAATGTAGTACACAAGATAATTTACCTTCTGTAGCATTATGCTTACCAGATTTAGTACACACATTTTGAGTTTTAGCTCCGATTAAAGTGTTACGCTGAGCGGACTTTCTTGACACTCAAATGTTCCCAGATCTTAACAATTATTACGAACAAAATAAGTCACAAGCAAAGGTTTAATTTAAGCTCCGCTTGTTTTGAACTTATGCATTTTCTGAAATGTGCATAAGAACAGTAGCTGACTGGCAGATGTGGATGACTCTGAAGGGCACAACATTTGACTGCTTATTCCTTTCACAAGTTTTAGAAAATGCATAAAAATACTTTTATCTATATGTTTAATTTTCTGGTTATAAATTCTTAAAATGACACATCTTGCATCGTTTTTTCAAACTTGACATTACATCTCATGTATCAGGAAATGATTATCAAACTCGACTGTACCTGGCAGTTTGTGAGTTGGCTAAGACTTTAAGAATCCCAGCATTCCCCTTTGCTGATAAATGCATGAATCAAATCTTCCATTTGCAGGTGGACTTGAAGTTCCCTAAAGTTGTCTCTGATGGTGCCCGAGACTTGATCTCCAAGCTGCTTCGCCACAACCCCATCGATCGCCTCCCACTACAGAGTGTCATCGACCACCAGTGGGTGCGTGCCAACTCTCACAGGCTCTTGCCTCCAACCTGCCCTGTCAAGAAATCCTGAGCCTGCCCTATGATGGGTCTTTTTCCTTCCGCAAGAGACTGTGGCCCAATATTTTTTTGGTTTCACTGCCATGGGCTTCAAACTGCCATTATACTGGCAACTTTATACATGAAAAGGGTTCAGAGTATTATGTCATGCATGACAAAGATGAACAACAAATTCTGAGAACCTGCAAATGCAGAAAATCTTTCACTTCTTTTGCTTTAAAATGACTTCGGTTAATCAGTTTTTGCTGTTTGTCTATTCTCGCATACCCTTTTTTTTTTTTCCCCCCAAATGTACAGTCCTTATGTATGTCCTTATCTATGTATAGTGCCTTCACTAGAAGTGTGTTTTGTTTTTGGTAATTGTGATTTCTTTACTTTTCAAAATTGACACAGCTTTGTTTTGGATTGCTGCCTCAGATGGTGTTGACATCAAAATACTACTGTTAGACTGCCTCATTTATATTCTTGAATAGTTTGTGCCGAGGGGTTTGGGGCTTGTGCAGGAAAGCATGTTTTAATTTCCTTCAAGATGTACTTTAACTTTCTAATAAATATTGTAAAAGGATTTGTTTGCATCAAATGAGTAATTGATCACAGAGTTTATATCTAGCTGCTTGGCAAACCTGGTTAGTGTAATGCAACTATAAGTCCTACCTTTGCTAAGGGTTATATTAAGTTGCTTATACAACATTTAAAAAAATATATATTGATTTGTAGTCACAGACTTTTATCAAGTAAGGGTAAGTAATTTGGGTTTTTTTTTTTTTTTTTTTTTTTTGTTGTGTAAACCGCAAGAGCAAAAGTGTATATATACACCCTCTAATATTTGGTTGAAGGTGCACCCTGAAAGGGGCTATTGGTAGTTATCATCAAGCTTCTGGCATAATTCTGGCTGGATATTTGAACAGTCTTGGCAGGATTATGAGTAGAGTTCATTTAACCCTGGAGAACCCATGGGGTCAGAGCCGACCCCATTGGTTTACTAGAGAACCCATGGGGTCAAATTTGACCCCATGGGTTCTCCAGGGTTAAATGTGTTGGTGTCCTGGTACAGACCTGTGTGGGTTGTTTGTTTGTTTTTTTTTGTTTTTTTTTTAAAAAGCGTAATCCACAAATTTTCAATAGGGTTGAGGTGGGGAAGGCTATTCCAGGAGCTTCAAGTTGACTTGTTTTATATGTTCAAAACCAGCTTTGATATGTGTTTGGGTTCACTGTTCTGTTGGAACACTTAATCGTGTCCAAGATTCAGCTTCACTGGAAAGTTTACAGTTCATGGCAGGGTAGCTGATCCTTGATGCAACACACTCCGAAAATGTTGGGACAGGGGGAACTTTACCACTGGGTCGCATCACATTTTCTTTTAATTACACACCAATCTTCTGGAACTGAAGAAATTGTTGCAATTTTACACACAGAATCTTTGCAATTCCTGCTGTAAGTAAGTAATAGCCTGTGGTCGGCTATCTGATTTTCTTTAATGATGCACCAGACAATTTCAGTGGGAGACGGCTCTGGACTGCAGACAGGCCAGTCAAGCACACAGACTGTTTATGAAGTCAGACTGATATTCTCCTGGAATACACATGGAGTTCCTGGGAAGAGATTGTCTTAATGGAAGCATATGTCCCTCTAGAAGTCCTATGAAGTCTGCATCAATTATGCCTTCAACCCCCCCCCCCCCATGCCATGGGCAGTGTTGCACAAACCATACCATCCAACCTTTCTTTTTCATCTTTGGAATGTAGAATTCGACGCTAATCCTCTCCCCAGCGTGGAGTTATTTGACCACAAAACACATTTCTATTGTCACTCGTTCCATCTCAGATGAGCTTGATATAGCAGCAGATTGTGTTCAGTGACACTGATTTTCTGAAGTACTTCTGAGCCCACTTGGCTATGTCAGTCAGAGTAGCATGATGATTTTGAATGCAATACCTTCAAACCTTTTGAAAATCACACACATTCAGCAGGAGTTTCTTCCCTTGGCCTTTACGCCCAATGATTTCTCAGGTCTCCCACACAATGTTACCTTGCACTAAGAAACATTGTTTTTATGGTGAAAGATTGATTTATTTTCTCACAATATCACAGTGGTGAAACACAACCCATCTTTTCTTATAAAGGCTGAACTTCTGGTGCATACCCATTTAATACCCAATCTTGATACCCACACCTGTTCTAGATTAACTTGCTAATTGAGAATGTTACAGATTGTTACTTGTTACTACATTTAAAGCAGGGGTCCCCAATCCAAGTCCACGAGGGCCGATGTCCCTGCAGGTTTTAAATGTGTCCTTGATCCATCACAGCTGATTTAAATGGATAAATTACCTTAACATCTCTTGAAGTTCTCCAGAGGCCTGGTAATAAACTAATTATGTGATTCAGGTGTGTTGACCCAGGGTGAGATCTAAAACCAGCAGGGACACCGGACCTCATGGACTGGTATTGGGGACCCCTGGTTTAAAGGGTTATTTTGCCTCTGCCCCAGCTCCTTTTGAATGTTTTGCAGGCATCAACTTATGTTTAAAAAATGAAATGAGTTGGAGAAAACACTTAACATATCTGATTTGTCCTTTTCCCTGTAAAATGTTCAAGTGCATTACCAAATTGCAGAAAATGAGGTAGCTATCAGTACCAATATAATATACAAAAATGGTTAAAATCCTAAAAGGAGTATTCCAGCCTGTCCTAAGAAGAATGAAACGGCAGAAGAAAAAATGGTTAAAAAATAGTTAATTTCAGTAGTATTGTCGTAGGTATATGCTAATTTCAAAACCTAAATTCACACGGTAGCGTGGCCGAGCGGTCTAAGTCGCTGGATTAAGGCTCCAGTCTCTTCGGGGGCGTGGGTTCGAATCCCACCGCTGCCATTACTTTTGCTCTCACACAATTCTCTCACTTCGAAAGAACAGTCCGCAATAACAGCTGGACTTTAATTTTTTTTCTCTCGTGTGTCAAATTTTGTAAAATGAGCGCTCTAACTTAAACTGCAAATGTTAATTAAAAGTAACACAAAATAATCTCACTGATAGTTAACCGTTACCGCAGAAATTATTATGTTTGGAAACCATCAGTTTCGTTGCTATATTTGTCACTCGGAATCACAAATTACACATATAACCTGCAAAACGTCTGGGTTTGAATACACCTTGCAGTTTCAAACCGCTAGACAGTGCCACACAAAGTGTTCAGTGCCTAGTTATATCGGCAGAGATGCACAAAACATGTCAGATAACCAAGAGTTAGCTCAATACATTTCAGTAGCTGTATGCCCCGCTAAATATTACAAGGTTCATGAAAAACTGAGAACTCGAGATTTTAAACCTGGCTAAAATAATAACTAATTCGCCTAATGTCTATTTTTTTTAACCGTGGCGCTTTTATTTTGATATAGAAGAATGCTTTCATAACTCTTCCGGTTCAACTGAAGCGGCTAAGGTTTTCTTTTGACAAGACAGGCGGTGTTTCCGGGTCACCCTTGCTTCGAACTTCACAAACCATAAACAGAAGGCTGGTGCTCTGTGATCGGAATTTACCTGATGTATTGACAGCCTTATCGCTTTTAGTCACCAAATTCTAAGCCAACTAAATTGAGACATGGCTGGTTTACCACCGGGAGATCCGCAGCTGGTCTCAATGATCGTAAATCATTTAAAAACCCAGGGACTCTTTGACCAGTTCCGGAGGGACTGTTTGGCAGACGTTGACACAAAGGTAAGCACTAAAAGCATGCTCATAACACATTATTTGACGGTGTTTTACTTAATGAGTGTAAAATTCAGTTTAGGGGACTATCTGTTGTGCGTTATCTGTATTTTTGTTGAAGCTGTTTTGACACTGGGGTCTCAGCTTGGCTACAGAAGCTACCTTTTAATTGAGGCTACTAAATGTGTGTACTACTGTATGTCCACTTTCGCTACATCCATTAAACTTCTCTGTGGTTTCTCCTTTCCTCCCCTGCCTGGCAGTTAAAAATTCAACATCCTTTGTCCAGTGTATCCACTATCCCTCTGTGCATGTCCAAACCATCTCTGTAACTTTCTCTCCAATACACTCAACCTGAAATATCTCTCTAATATACTCATTTCTGCTTGTCCGTCCTTGTCACTCCCATCTACGGTTCTGCCACCTCCAGCTCAGGACTCCTGCTTTTTTTGTTCATCTCCAAGCCATTCCTAAAAACCTATCAATTTCAACTGCTTTTAGTCAGGTCTGAAGTCTCATTTCAGCATGTAATGTCCATTTGCAGTGATGTTCTCCTTTGTGTGCCTGGGAGTGATATTTGTAATGGAAACATTCAAATCTTTTACAGCCAGCCTACTTGAATCTGAAACAACGAGTGGACAACTTTGTCTCCAATCACCTCTCCAATCACACATGGAGCCCTCATTTGAACAAAAACCAACTGAGAAACAACATCAGACAGCTTGTCCTGCAGTAAGTGAGACATAGTATTCCTTCTCGTTCTGGCTTGTCGACATTAACTAAACTTACCGCAATCTGTGTCTCTTAGATCTGGGATGCTGGAGCAGGGAGTGGACAGGATTGTGGCACAGGTGGTGGATCCTAAAATCAACCATATCTTTAGGCCGCAGGTGGAGAGGGTTGTCCGTGAATTTCTGTCCCCTGGCAGCTGCTCTGAGGAGCCACCAGCCCCTCTGCTTTCAACAGAGGTCAAACCAGACAGCAGCATTCCTGAGCAGGGTACACAACATTTTATGATTTTTATCAGCTTGCAAATGTCACGTGTGGATTTATATCTTTGATTACTCTCAAATATTTTAATATTTGAACAAGTGTCATTTCATGTTTACAGCCTCAACATCGACTCCAACTACCACTGCCAGCGACGCCATGTCCATCCTGGACACTATAACTTCTCTAAACCAAGAAGCTAGCGTCAGAGCCAGCTCGGCACCCGAAAAAGCACGTAAAAGTCAATCGGCAGATGACTTCATGCAGGTGATGGTGGAGGATAGCGAGCAGGACATGAGTATTGTTGAGGAAGGTGACAGTCACCAAGTGGTAAAGCCACTGGAAGAAGAAGAGGAAGCAAAACTGTCAGCTGAGGTTCAGGCATTAGAGGTAAAGACAGAGGAAACACAGGAAGAGGTGGAACTGGGAAAAGAGCCGTTAAAGGAGGATGTGAAAATGGAAGATGAGGAGTCTGTGGCTCAGGAGCAGACAGAGGATGAGAAGGATAAAACAGCAAGCAAAGTCAGTGGAAAACCCTCAGAAGAAAAACAGGATGATGATCTATTGAAATCTACAAGCAAGGCTAAACAGAAGGCCAGAGAGAGGATAAAAGAAGGTGAGCTGCAGCATCCTTTGTTTGTTTTTATATTTATTTAGCATTAGAATAGAATAGAATTGAATAGAACAGAATAGAATTCAACTTTATTGTCATTGCACACGTCACAAGTACAAGGCAACAAAATGCAGTTTGCATCCATCCAGAAAGTGCTTTAGCAATAATATGATGTGTTATGAATATACTATAACTATAAATGGTAAATGGCCTGTATTTGTATAGCGCTTTTACTAGTCCCTAAGGACCCCAAAGCGCTTTACACATCCAGTCATCCACCCATACATTCACACATTGGTGATGGCAGCTACATTGTAGCCACAGCCACCCTGGGGCGCACTGACAGAGGACTATAAGTATGTACAGGCTATAACTGAAGTGAATGTACAAGCTATGAACAGGTTATATGTATGGTTATAAATATGAAAATCTATAGCAGATTATAGATATACAGTTGTGAGTATTAATAAACAGTTTTAAGACCATAATTATTGTATTGTATGATTGTCTATACAGCATTTACATTCCCTACTTCACATTACTTTGTACATTTGTCACAGGGAAGGGATTTATATGCATTTTCTTATGGTGGACATGGCTTTAATGCAAATTTACTTTACATGATTCTGTGCTTATTTGGACAAGTGAAGAATTTAAAAGATATTCAGGTTTTCACTTCGTTACCTTATCTTATCTTACACTTACACTTAAAAGAAGTTTAAAATCTCTAAGTACCTTTTTCCTGCAGAGTATTCTTTGGAGGACTCTGACCTGGAAGGCCTGAGTGACATCACAGTGAGCTCTGTCCACACCAGCGACCTGTCCTCATTCGAGGGGGAAAGTGAAGATGAGCAGCAGCTGTCTGATTCTTCTGAAGAGGGCGAGCTTCCACCTGATGGTCTCTGCCGGCAGCAGGCTTTCTATTTTTGAATAACATCACCATTAGTTGGAGCACTTTGAAAATATTTTAAAATATTTTTTCTGTATGTACTTGCTTCTTTTTCTCCCAGATGAAGGTGAGAGGGAAGAAAAAAAACACAGCACTGGAGACACAGGAGATGAAGACAAAGAGCGTAAACCTCGCCGCAAGGCCTATGTTCACAAGCCCTTCCTCTACTCCCGTTACTATAGCGACTCAGATGATGAGATCACTGTGGAGGAACGCCGTCGTTCTGCGGTGAGCTATTTAAATGTTAACATGTTACGTGCAGAGATTTAAAACTTTTTCTAGTTAAATGAAAAGCTTAGATCAATGGACGGTTATAGACTGAACACATTATGTCTTATGGTGTCATCTGCTGTCTTTTAAGTACATTTATTTAACAAACTGGGGTCCTTCCAGGCGAAGGACAAAGAAGAACGGCTGCTCAAGAGACAACAGAACAGAGAGCGAATGGAAGAGAAGCGCAAACAGAAAGCAGCACAGGCTGAAGAGCAAGGTTTTTATGTCATACACACTTGTGGCCTTCAGTGTTTCTTCATTTTCCTCATCTTGTGTATTCCACTGTTTTAGTTTAGTTATATACTCCCTGCCCCATGCTTTCACGGGACTGCAAAGAGTCCACCCACATATAAAATAGCAGAGGACTTACCAAATTGCTGGCCTGGAGGATTCAATGCCAGTGCCAGAATTTCACCCTGCGGTCAAAGTTCAGAGGAAATGCAAAAACTAGACTCTTCGGGCCTCAATTAGCATGTTAAACATTAAAATTAATGACAGTGCATTTAGAAAAAGGCTGCACAAGTTTGGCTCTTGTGGAGGAACGGTTTTCAAGAGAAAGCCTCTTGCCCCTAAACCACAAGACTGAGGTGGAGGTGTTCAGCCCTAATGCATTGTGCCATTCCTGCAAAAACTAAATGCATCATATTAGCTGTCAAACAAGGCGATGGAGAGGTGACGATTTGGGCTGCCTTGCAGTCATTGAGTTCAGCATGAACTCCTCTGTATACCAAAGTGTTCAAGATTTAAAATGTTAGGCCATCTGTCCGACAGCTGAAACTTAGCTGACACTATTTCATGCAACAGGACAATGATCCTAATCACCGCAGCAAATCTAAAAAAGAATGACTGGAAAAGAATCAAGGTTGCAATGTCAAAGTGCAAACTTGAGCCTCACTGGAAGACTGTGGCGGGATCTGAATGAATGCCTGCAAACCGCAATGAACTGAAGCAATGCTGCAGAGAACAGTGAGACAGCATTCCTCTAGAATAATACAGTAGGGTTTCTACCGTACAGTATAAAGTGCTATATAAATAAAATTGATAAATGTGAGACTGATAAAGTCTTCCAAAAATTAGAATATCAACTTATTGCTGCTAAAAGTGGTTCTACAAGCTACTGAATGACAGGGTCTACTTAACTATTTATAGGACAGCATGGAGTCCTGAGAAAACCATTTTGTGTGTACATAACACTTGGGATGTGCTACATTTTTACAGCACAACCCCCCCCCCTAAAAGATTAGTTTAATAAAGAGTTGTTTGTGCCTACAAATTTTGTGTTTTCCTTTGATCTATTTGGGATGATCACATGTTTTTTTTTTTTCGTTTTTTTTCGTTTTTTTTTTTTCTTTCAGTCGAGTTGTCTGGATGTTGTCCAAAAATAGAAAATTTATACTCATATTTAGTTCAAACTTCACATCACAAACTCCGTAAATTGTATTCCCTTGGCCAGGTTGCATATTTGTCCTTTATTTTCTCCTGGAAATAACTTTGTGTACTTGTAACATCTGCATGACGTAAAAGGCTCAATGTCTTCCACAGATAACAAAAAACAAAAGAGCAGCGACTCCGCTGCCCTCGAAGGCCCCGGAGCCAAAGAAGCCCGCAAAGAGAGGAAAGTTCTGGAGAAAAAAATGGCTCTCAACAGGAAGAGAAAACTAGACTCAAGGTGTGTAAAGGCTTGGACACAATTTGTACAGTAGATGCTTTTTTTTTTTTCTTAATATACACCGTAAAAATGAACATATTAATTTTACTTTTTAAGGAAAGAGGGAGATGTTTCAGGCAAAAAGAAAGGAGACACGAGAGACGCTGTAAAGAAAACGGTATGTAAAAGCTAACGTTGATGAAACAGATTTCAGGCATCAGGTTTTCATCATGAGTTGTAACTCTGTGTTTTTCATTTATTTTTGAAAATAGGAAGTGAAATCTACCACCTCAAAGACACCACAACATAAGCTGATGAAAAATCTGTCCGAACCTTCATATTCTGATGAGCGATACAGAGGGACAAGCGGCAGCATCTCAGAAGATTCCAGCGATGCAAAGAAGATAGCTGACAAAGGAAGGACACACTCCTTCATCTTGGAGCTGGAGCTAGGCTCCCAAGAGGCTCTCAGACAACGATCGGTTGGAAAATTTGACCGTCTGTCTCACAAAGAGCTTCACTCCAAAGAACGCAAAGAGAAAGAACGCAGCTTGTCCGATGAACGTGCCAAGCTCAAACAGAAGCAGGAGAAAAAATCTGAACATCAGGCGGATGAATCTCAGCAGAAGGAAGGCAGTGCTGTTAAAGTATCCTCTGAAGAGAAAGCTGAGAAGAAGCCCAAGATCAAAAGTGAGAAGAAGATCACAGGAAGTACAAAAGAAGGCAAGGTGTCTGAAAATGTTTCTGAAGACGGAGGTTCTAAAGATCCAAAGAAGGTGAAGACTTCATCTGTGGAGGCTATCAAAACGGAGAAGGACAAGAATAAGGACAAAGATAAGATCAAAGAAAAGGAAAAGGCCAAAGGGGAGAGAACCTCGGTTAAAAGTGATTTCAAGCAGCTGCTTCGCCCTGATTCTGCAGGTTCCTCTGAGGATCGATCCGACATGGAGCCTGAGTCAAACAGCAGCAAGAAGAAAGATAAACACTCCAAGGACGTCATGAAAAAGCCAAAGAGCCACAGTGAGGACAGGCCTGGAGATAAACTCAAATCTAAAACTGACAGTAAAGACAGCGAGAAGGAAAAAACAAAAGCAGATCAAGATGGACAGAAATTACACAGGTCAAGCTCGGAAAGTGACAAAGATCCAAAAAGGGTCAAATCATCGGAAAAAGGAAGAATTTTAGAAAAATCAAAATCAAAATCCAAAGAGGAGGCGAAGACTCCAGTGCTGCCAAAGACGGAGAAGAGAGTTCACAGTCCGGATGTCAAAAGTGCAGGAATTTCATGCGTCAGCAAACCTGAAGCAACAAAAGAGAAGAAGAAAGAGGGAAATGCAAAAGACCAGAGCAAAGTCTCTGAAGAATCTTCACAGGAGAGATCTGACAGTAAAAGTGCAAAGAAAAAGCTGGAGAAGAAGGATAAAGTTTCAGAAAAGAAAGATGAGAGTCAAGAAGAGAAAGCACCAAGAGAGGAGAAACTGGAAAAGTTGGATAAATCCCCTTCGGTTTCCTCTCTGAGTCTTGAGACGGATGATCCGCCAAAGAAACGACCTCTTCTCCAAGACACAAGCACAGACTCCGATCCCGTCACCACCACCGTCACCACGTTGTTCTCAGACGATACCTGTGACGCCTTGAGCGACATCACCCCCGAGCCGCCCGAGGGAGAGACGGAGTCACGCCTGTGCGAGATGCCAGCTGTGCCTGCAGAGGCCGACGCCCTGCTGACTCTTATGGACGTCTGCACGTCAGCAGAGGCGAGACTTCCACCTGAGAACACCCGAGAGGATGTGACATCCGAGATGGAGCTTCAGGATGCTGATATGAAGATGAAAGAGGCAGCTCTGACTCTGCTCTCCATGGATCCCGACAGCACAGTGTCCACCAGCTTACTGTGCCAAGAAGCAAGAGAAGAGTCAGCGGTCAATCCGCCCGCCCCACAACCAATGGAGACAACTACAGCTGAAGAGGAGCAGCTTCCTCCTATGGAAGTGCACACGGCTGCTGAAACTGAGTCCCCGGCTGCTGAAACTGAGTCCCCGGCTGCTGAAACTGAGTCCCCGGCTGCTGAAACTGAGTCCCCGGCTGCTGAAACTGAGTCCCCGGCTGCTGAAACTGAGTCCCCGGCTGCTGAAACTGAGTCCCCGCGCTGGGCCGGCTGCTGAAACTGAGTCCCCGGCTGCTGAAACTGAGTCCCCGGCTGCTGAAACTGAGTCCCCGGCTGCTGAAACTGAGTCCCCGGCTGCTGAAACTGAGTCCCCGGCTGCTGAAACTGAGTCCCCGGCTGCTGAAACTGAGTCCCCGGCTGCTGAAACTGAGTCCCCGGCTGCTGAAACTGAGTCCCCGGCTGCTGAAACTGAGTCCCCGGCTGCTGAAACTGAGTCCCCGGCTGCTGAAACTGAGTCCCCGGCTGCTGAAACTGAGTCCCCGGCTGCTGAAACTGAGTCCCCGGCTGCTGAAACTGAGTCCCCGGCTGCTGAACTGAGTGCTGCTGAAACTGAGTCCCCGGCTGCTGAAACTGAGTCCCCGGCTGCTGAAACTGAGTCCCCGGCTGCTGAAACTGAGTCCCCGGCTGCTGAGCCATCACCAGTTGCATCTCAAGAACCCGATGAGCTTGCTGATGTAAAATCAGACATTGCAGGTTTGTGCCATTGTGTATTATTGGCTGTAAAACAAGTAAGAATAAACCAGAGCTAAACATGTGTCTCTTTACAGATGAGTCAGAAAGCACAGAGGTAAACATGGTCATTTCAGATGTTGAAACCTCTAAGACTTTGGCTCTAAAGGTAAATGTCACAGCTCCAACAAATCAAAAATATGTAGTTTAACTATACTTATACTTAATCTGAATATTTTGTCAGTGGTATTTTCTGAGTTTCTATTGTCAGATGTTTTCTCTATCATAGGAGGATGAAGCTACTGCAGATGAAATTCCTTCAAAAGAAGCTGAAAATACTGAAATATTTCCTGAAATGCAGTCGGATGAGAAACCAGCAGTACCACCTGAAGAGGGTATACTTTCTGATCTGTCATGTTCATTAAATCCAGATCTGCATAGCTGAGTTCCAGCTGTTGAATCGCTCACTCTGTAGTGCACAGTGTAGCGGGGAGCCATTTGTAGTGCACTGAGTACGTCAGAGGTGATGTATGTGTATGGTCAGAAAATAAATCCGTTAGAGATAGACTTAATGTATAGATGTCTCCCCGAAATCCAAACCAGAAGCATATTTAATAATTTAGCTGCTTGTTTAGTGATTCATTAAGTTGTTATTTTAATGGTTTTGAATGACTTGAAAGATTAGTGATTAGTCTCCTGGCAGCTCAGCAGGTCAGAGACTGTTTGATGATTTCCGAATAGCATCAATAGTGTCCCCGAACATGATTTTTCACATTTCTTTTCTCATGTGTATTGATTGGCATTCATATACACAAAGTCAATATTTTCCACGAAATCTGCATTTTGGGAGTTAGAGGAGTTGGTGGTTTGGAAAAAAAATTCAAAAAAGTTCCAGTGACACATGTTACAGATTTTTCCACATCATTTGTTTTTAATATTTTATTTTTAAAGGAGTTATTCATTGTAAATACATTAGTTGTTTAAGTTAAGGCTTTAAAAATCATATGGCTATGGTTAGAAAAAGATCATGTTTGGGTTCAAATGTAATGGTTACTGCTGTTGGTACTAGTAGTGACAGTCCCATTCATCCTCGTGTAGGTGGATAGAGTTCAGCTGAAGTATTTGCAATTGCACGTGTTTGCATATGTGTTTATCCAAATGCACTGGCCAGGGTTCTGTTATTTGTTCATGTAAAATTAGTAACATTACATCCAAACGTTGTGCAAAATACCTCAGTAGCTACTGAGTCCATTATTTTGCAAATACCCACTGTCTCAGTGGGAGAGAGAGTGAACAGTTTGAACACAGACCTCACATCTTTTTCTTTTCTCGTGATAATACAGCGGTAACTTATTTCCTTTTACATCAGTGTCATAGCTTTATATTAACATAATACATTTTCCAGCTGCTGTTGCTGTGTGTGAAACCGAACAGCCCACAGGAAGCACAGAGGAAAACACGGTGGCTGGTGTTCCCAACACCACTGAAGAATTTACTGAAACTCCTGGTGAACAAGGTGAGCGCTGAAATAAGTTACTGCAGAGAAAAATACAATGGTGTGTTTGACTGACAAATAACTACATCTTATCATAAAGAACAACCAGAGCCAGATGATGTCGTCACAAAGGAAAACCTCGAGGTGAGTAGTGATCCACAATACCCTGAAACAAATTAGAACTGTTTATTTTCATACATTTGTTTGTATTTGTATGTTTTTTACAACTCAAACTCAGTCATCTTATTTCAACAACAGGCAGAGGAGGCGGCAGGTGACGAGGATGGGACCAAGACGGACATAATTAACAGTAAGTTTGTCTGCAGATGGTGAATATTTCAGATAAATTCATAAAAACACTTTCAAAGGCCGCCGTTTTAACCTCCTTGTTTTCACCACTAGGTGAAGCTGAGAGTAAGTCAGTGGAGGAAGGAAATGTCTCAGCAGAGAAAAGCGATCCACAGACTGTAAGTGTTTAGCTTTTACCCCTGCTCACTTACATGTTACTCATCCTTAACTGTTTAATCTGATCAGTTTCTCCTGTTTGGTTTAGATGGAAACCAGTGTCCCAGACAAGACTGAGGAGGCCAGAGAATCTGAGTCTAAGCTAGTCAAACAAATCAGTGAGTCAAGTGGCTCCTTTGGAAAATTACTCACACTTGTTGAGTTTACACTGCTGTATCTGGTTTGAAACATGTTGCCAGAGTAATGCTTTTAAGAGGATTACATTTTGTTTCTACATGCTCGGTACTTGTCAGCTGGTCCTTTTACAGTTAGTCTCAGCTGGTCCTGCTTGTTTGAAATTTCCAGGTAATGTCTCCAGCGCAGATAGCCAAGATGATGAGAAAGGCTCAGATCTCTCAGAAAAGGTAACTCTCAGAAGTTTTTTTTTTTTTTTTTTTTTTTTTAATTCATTCAAATGGATGTGCAGAAATATAGAACAATAGTCTGCATGCAAACACTTTTCTGTTCTGTAGGAGGAGAAAACGGAGGGAAGAGGAAGGCGGAAACGAAAGCTGTCCAATCAGAAAGCTGCAGCAGAGAAAGAGTCTGGTATGGCAGCTGAGATTTATTTCTTCACCTAATTTCAAAATACAAAGAAATTAAAAGACAAAAGGGTGATTGGTAAAAAATGATTTTTATTAATTGGTTAGCTGAAGACAATGGCTTCATCACAACCCTTCCAATAAAGTCAGTAAACAACATGTTAACCAGTTATGACCACTGAAAAGTGTCCTTCACCAGGTAGAGTCTAGTTAACTAATGCATTGACTCTGTTTCTTTAACACATCAGGTGAGGAGGCGAATGAGCAGCTGCCTGCTGAGGTAAATAACGCTTCATTCACTTCACCTTTATCACAAATACTGTTAAGAATACAAAAACAATCTCTGCTTGTGTTTAAAAATACACGTTTGCTGTTATTTTTATCTCCGGGACGCTGAGCAGGACAAGCCAGTGGAGGTAAAAACCCCTCGCAGGGGACGATCGTCCAAACCCACAGAGGAGGAGACGAAAGACGAACCAACACAAGTGGAGAAGTTGGAGGAGACTCCGAGCCGCAGGCGGAGACGATCAGCACCCAAAGAAGCCGCAGCTGGTAAGCTGCTCACTTTAAATTAGTGTTCACTGTTAATGTGCGAAAAGGAAATGACCTGAAAATAAGAAGAACAGTTGTATTATGTAGAAATGGATTTGGCTTTGGACACACAAACTGAACACAGGCGAAAAAGCTGATGCACTTTATGGAGGGCTATATCTGCTTCTTTAAATTAATATATTATTTGTGTTATTAGATAATTAATGCTTCTTTAGCTTCTTGGGTACTGGGATCTGTTATTCTTTTTCCTGCTGAGAAGAAGAAAACAGGCTTAAAAGCGAGCGGCAGGAGAAGTGAAATGACTTGATTCAGGCAAATGAACCGAGCGCCTGCTCCTAGTATAAGAGAAATAATGTTTATTCAGTACTGTGATTTGTGCCAATCTAACTTAGAAGAGTTCAGTGATAAAAAAATGTGCAGCCTAATAGGAAATGAGCGTAGTAGGTTCCCTTTAACAACATGTTGAATAAGTATAAGATTTGTTTTTTCTCTAGATTGTAGTTTTTTGCACTATAAAGTGGTTGCTGAGTATAAAATAATGTACAACACAAGCTGTTAGTTTTTTTTTTCTTTGAGTTTTGCTCTTTTTTTTTTTTATAAAATACATCTTTTTTTTGAACCTCAGATAAGCAGAAAGAAGACGAAAATAAAGTTGTTGAAAGTCCCGAACAAACCTCATCGGAGAAAGTTGCAGAGACGGAAGCAGTGGAAGAGGTGTGTTAAGAAAATCTCAGCATGTCCGTAATATTTAATAACACGTGTCGTTACAGCTTCTTTGCCTTTGTTTCTCATGTGACATTGTTGGTTTACTTTGATGTTTTATCCTTGTAAGAGTGAGTACATTAAGTGTTTCTTTTGTTGTTGTTTTTTCCTATTCTTAGAGAACTGAAGAGAAAAATGAACCAATCAAAAGTGAGGTCAGTCTGCTGCCGTCTGTTCCAGAGGACGGCGAAGGAGCAGCAAGTGCCAAATGCAGCGATCCTGCTGACACCAGTGAGTCTGGTTTTTAAATGTTATATCGATAACAAGTGGGCCAAACCTCAACAGCTTCTCATATTAAGAATTTTCAAATTATGCAAGTGTGTCGATGAATATGAGCTTGTTTGGTTTTTTTGACAAGGGAAAAACAAACAGGAACTTTAAGTAATTTAAATGTAACTTGACTTTGTACTGTGAATGATTGATAGTAAATGTTTGGTGTGAACTTATCTGGTTTCTGAATTGGGCCATGAAGGAAAGGTTTGAAAACTAGCGGCTTAAAGAAAGTCTGGAAATAAGTGAGCTTTAAGATACTTAAAAAAAATTAAATGTTTTGATTAATCATCATTGCAGGTGAACAAACAGTGGAGACCAAAGAATCGGAGGAAATGGAGGTGTGTGAATGTGTGGAGGTGAGATTTCTTTATCTGTAACTGCTCTCCTTCCAGTACGCATTCAGCACCCTCCATCTGAATTTCTTCTTGTTTTGTCCTGCAGGAAGCTCGAGCTCCGGAGGAGGTGGTGCAGGACAACAGTGGACAGGAACAAAATGAGCGACAGCCTGATAAAGACAGTGGTGAGACAGCACTCAGGCTAGCTGTGTAATTACCACAGTGGTTCATGTGTTTTAAAAACATCTTCAGTTGTGAGTTTGCAGTCTTTGTATCTCAGGTTTATTTATTTTTTTCAGACTGTTCCCCTTCTGCGAGTCAGTCAGAGGCTCACGAGGATGTAAAAGAGCAGAGCTGCAGCGAGAAGAAGACACAAGACGTATGTTTAAAAATGATGTATCTGCATACTTTACTTTTTATAATGAGGCTGATGTTTGTGTAAGGACTTTTTACCTCAGTCACAGTTCCCAGTGTATGTTCACTGACCTTTTTAAACTCTTCCAAGGGCGGGGAAGAGCAACAGCAAGAGGACCAAGAGACGACTCCAAAGCGGACTGGTCGGAGGGGACGGCCATCAAAGGCAGCAGCTACAGAGGATTCAGGTAAAATGTGATTAAAATGGAGTCAACAGGCTGTAGCAGTCAATGTGAAGCTAACACGATGGTAGGATATAAGATTATTTGCTGTGGATGAGTGCTTCAGTGATTCTATAGCTCCATCTGACAGACCTTTTATATATTTAACCAATAACTCCTGCAACACTTTGTCATCTTTCCCTCAGATAAAAAGGTCAAAAAAGCAGAGGAGAAGGACAGTGAGCAGAATGAGGAGGAAGAGGAGGAAGATGAAGGTGAGAAAGAAGGAGAGGAAGAAAAAGAAACTGCAACTAGAGCCACAACACGGTTGGCTTCTCGCCGGGAAGCTGAAAGGTAATTTAAACGTTATCTGATGGTTCAAATTTCAGATTTCCAGTAACACCAAAACAGAGAAATTGCCAAAAACCTGCAGATGGGTTAAAACAACATATTTTTTTATTGAATGCTGAGCAATAAAATTCACCTGAACTGTGAAACTGCAAAGTTTCTCCAGTGTTAACGAATGAGTGTTTGATTGTTTTGGAGCTGAATATTTGCACCTCGAAGGCATCGTCGCTGTCAAATCATATTAAATAAAATCAAGGGCGATTTAGTACTAAAGCAACAACTGTTGTTTTGTATTTTTCTTTTTACTGTTCCCCAGAAACAAGCCAAGTAAACCATCCACCCGGGCAAGCAGACAGAACGGTAAAGAGGAGACCGCAGCTGGCACACGGTGAGCTTCAGCAGCACGAGCGAGCTCAGTCGCTGCTCTGTGAAAGAAAACATTTTGCCAAAAGATTTCCTGGAATTTCAAGATGTTTTTCACTTATTAGCTCCTAAAATAAAAATAAGTCTTCTGTAGAACCTGAGCTATGTTTAAGAAAGGTAAATCAAACAGCGGCAATAGGACTTCAGTATGTAATTGATTAATATGATGATGATACTAATTTGGGTCATTTGGCCTCTTCATGTAAATAGTGTAACGGTTGCGCTGAAATCTTTTGTTTAAATTTGCAAATGAGCCATTATTTATGTAAACGTGTGCTTTTCCAGAATAGAAATCTGAAACTGCATAAAACCAGATGCAAATTCTTCTTCTTTTTTTTTTTTTTTGTAAATTGTCGTTGATGGTTTTTAAGGCAGGGATTTTGAATCTCTTCTTAATCTAAACGTAGGATCAGCAGCCACAAAAAGTCTGATTTTTTTTTATTTTTTCTTGTTTTGCGGAATAAAATGTTCCAAGATGACCTTTGTGTAAAAAATAAATAAATAAATAAATAAAAATCCAGATTATAAATTGGAAAATTCGGTAAATGTTTGTATCGTAGTCGTCGCTTATTTAATGGAAAGTAGTATTTACTTGAAAGCGTTAGATATTTTGGCAACTAGTTAAAAATAGTCACCAAATTATAAGTATGACTCATTTTTAATGACATATGCTTAGATTTGTAGAAATGGCAAACAGACACAACAGAATCTGTATTTTGACCGTTAACTTCCAAGGAAACAACATAGCGAAAAATATCAAAAACTGACCAGAGATTCAAAGAAAAACACATTTTTGCTTGCAGTGCTTCACCTTGTGTGATTTCTATTTATTTATTTTTTAATTTATAAATCAAAGGTGTCCCAATACCACTAACATAAACAAACAAGAAGGTGGTCAAATAATCATTTAACTAAATTAGCTACATTAGGAGTAAGAAATGTGGGTTTTTGGTGGAAAAAGAAAATTATTTAAATTTTTTTTTTAATCACTAAATTTTTAGATCAGCTAATTATTTTATCTCTAGATTATGAATTTAAAATAAAACTTAAACTTTGTACAACTAAAATCGCTCATTGGTGGAAAAAAACAGTTGAATATATATTTTTTATTTTTCTTTATTACAAAGTAGTACATTTAATACTTTATCAAAATTTAGTTTTAAGACAATAATTTAAAAACTGTTTCTCAGCATCTATGGTGTCTAAACCAGCCTGCGTTTAACTTTAGCTTGTACACTTTTTTGATTCCTTCAAAATAAAATTAATCTAGTAGGCCCCAAAATAAGGACTTCAAGTCTTGTTTCTATTTTAAACTTCTAGACTCTAGAGTTTATGGATACAGAACGAAGACCCCCCTCTCTCTCTCTACTTATTCTCCATACTTATTTTTTTTAAGGAAACAATACTTTCCTCTTTGTTAAATTCTAGCTGGCTTTTTTTTCCCCTTCTATTTTCAACTCTGTCTCCAGCACCGTTTTTCAAATCCAGAGATTATGTGAACAAGCTCCACTGTTTCTACACGTATTAGTTATTGCATTACTTTCCCCAAATAACCGTATATTTAACATGAACACGACTCTTGAACAAATGGATTGACACTTGCTCCTTGTTTCCCTCCCGCAGCGGGACGAGGGGCCAGGCGGCAGCAGCTGCAGCGAAAGGGGGCCGTAAGCGGGAGACCAGCCCTCCTGCTGTGCGAACGCGGGGAGGACAGAAATCAGAGGAGCCCCCTTCCAAAAGAGCCAAACGCTAGGATGCCTGACAGCGGCACAACGGTTTGCCCCAGCGGTGTTGTTTTTACACTCCATATTTGAAGAGCCTCTGCAGTCAGGCACGTAAAGCTGTTTCTGCTTCGCTGGCTGCAGATATCGAAGAGCTCTGGATAGTATTATACACTCTCCTCTGATGGTTGAGTGTAAACCTGAGGATCTGTGTAAGAATCCCCCAGAATACCTTCTGCAGCTCTGCACACATATGGTTTGGATCAGACTTCATATTTCACCATTTATTCAGTAATGCCCAGTGAGTATTTCAGCCCAATCAGAAGCCTAATGTGCAGCCAAGTTGTGCTTTGTGATAAAGAGGGTGAAGTCTGCAGATTGTGTCTCATATACACACTTGTACGTAGAAATCAGCAATTTGTGAATTTTATAAGTGCATTTTCATTCTGTGAATGAAACAAGATGTTTTACTTCTAGTTTTTTTTTTTTTATGTAATAGTCAGAAGTTAAAGAAAGGATTTTGGTTTGTTTTTTTTTGTTTTTTTATTCCACATTTTAAATTGATTTAAGACCTCAAAGACGGGGCAAAACTTGAAGAGTCTTTCATTACATAGTTTACTCCTGGTTTTTACTCACTAAATGAAGACCATCTAGTTATTTTTATTGTTACACAGTTAGCCATCAGTATGTATTAATGTAAAGCCGGAATTTCAACAAGTTTCTTTTTTAAATATATATTAAAAAACCCACAAATAACATATTTGTTGTTCCCTTGCTACATTAAAAGCACCACAAATCAATGTTATATGATCTAATCTTTTTCTTCTCAAGCTTGCAACTGATCCACAGCGGAGCTGATTAAAACCAAAAATGCTCACCTGATTGTTTCACTGAAGCTTAGTGAAGAAATATCCGCAAAAGGAAACTCAACCACGCCGCTGCAGTCTGTGTTTATGAAAAGATTACACACGGCAGAATATACAGATTTTTATTGATTCACCCATATTATGTCTCGGACGTTATCTCTGCTGTTTCCTAAATAGATGTGCTGTCTGTGATGTGTAAATAGCCGAAGACGAGAACCAATCGCCTCAGAGCGGAGAAGAGGAGAGGACATTCCTGCCTGCTAATGGGGGATAAAACTGACAAACTCGGAGTGAAATATTCCACCATCATTAACATGTTAGGGGGCTCTATTCGCCGCACCTGAACCTTTGTGATCCACAAAGCACAGACACAGAGAAGAAGAAGGTTACAGAAAGTCGGAGCTCTCAGGTTGAAGTTTTCCACCCATTCCTGTGGATGGCCAAAGGTGTACCTCTCTCAGGTATTTCCTGGTGCTGCAATCCAAGCATTAACATATTAACCCAACGACTCTGCTTTAAAGGTTTGGATCAGCTTTCATTTAGCCACCAGGTCTGGCAGACAAACAGCGCTCCTTTCACTTTCCGATGCCGCTGGAGCAACTTGAGATGTCATTTTATTATAGTCGTTTGCATTGTAGTCCAAAGTAATTTTTGCATTTGCTTTGCAGTTGCTGACTATCAGCTAAATATTTGAGGCAGATTTATTAGCATCAGGTTTTATGGATGAGAGGGGAGGAATACTTTCAGCTGACCTCGATTTTATTTTTTTTATAGAAAATAATCGTCTAGATCTACTCACTGAGCTCCTGCTGCATAAATCTGAGCCGATGTTGACCTGCTTTTAGATGTTTTCAGTGTGCTGTACCTGCAGTACTTTTCCACATCCTGGGTGAACAGGGGTCTCAGTTCATAATCGCAAGTAATGTTTTCCAAAATGAATCCATAACTGCAGCAGATGGTTGGCGCCTGTTACGGGTCCACTGTGAGGTGGCAGCCAGTGTGATATCTGAAATAATTAAACATTTAAGATGTTGCTGTCATCAGGAAAGTGTGACATGTTTCCACTTTTCTTATATGCAATCCACTGACATGTGTTACCGTACATCAAAAGTAAGAACGGATATTCCCATTTTTCTAATAGTCGCTTTTGCAAAAGATTGTATAATTAGTCAGTTTTAGTTTCATCATTTATTGTCCAGGACCATGCACAAAATATTGATCACATAGAAGAAAAGCTCCCCTTTATATGTACCAGATTAAGCGACTTAGTTGGGACAGGTACACACAATATTAAACAAACCATAAAATAAAAACGAACCTGAAAACAAATAGTTCAATAATGTATATTTGTTCTCTTTTTTTCTTTACTATAGAGGGTAGTTAAATGAATTTATTTTAAAAAGTTTTTTTTTTTATCTTAAATTTATCACTGGATAAAAAAGACAAACGCACACAAACCAGTTTTTAACATCCAGCTGTTAAAAAAACAGAAATTAATTATATTAATTAGTTATAACAGAGGGTTAAAAAACAAAGTATTGTATTAATTAAGATTTAACGTGAATCTCCATTTTATTTCTACTATATACACTCACTGGCCATTCCTCAGATTTTGATCCATGCTGACTTGATAGCATCACACAGTTTGTGCAGATTTGTCGGCTGCACATCCGTGATGTGAATCTCTCGTTCCACCACATCCCAAAGGTGCTCCGTTTGATTGAGATCTGGTTACTTGGGAGGCCGACTAAGTCCAGTGAAGAAACTAGTTTGAGCTTTGTGACATGACTCATTGTCCTGCTGGAAGCAGACATCAGACCATGTGGACACGGTCAGCAACAATGCTCAGGTAGTCTTTGGGCTTTAAACAATGCCCACTGGGTACTAAAACTGTGTTCTAAGGTCAGTGAATCCCAGGAAGGCGGCAGGTCCTGATGGAATACATGGAAAGGTTCTCAGAGCATGTGCTGACGAACTGACCGGAGTCTTCACTAAAATCTTCAACCTTTCCTTGTCATCAAACACCGTCCCGCCCTGCCTCAAAACCTCCACCATCATCCCCATCGCCAAGAAGACAGCTGTGGCCAGCCCAAATGACTACAGGCCTGTTGCACTTACGCCTGTAGTGATGAAGTGCTTTGAGAGACTGGTCTGTCAGCACATCAGGGCCGGTCTGCCTCCCACTCTGGACCCCCACCAATTTGCCTACAGGACAAATCGTTCCACCGAGGACGCCATCACCATAGCGCTCCACACTGCGCTGAGTCACCTGGAGCACCGAGGAAGCTATGTGAGAATGCTCTTTCTGGACTTCAGCTCAGCATTCAATCATATCATCCCAGAGATCCTGGTCCAGAAACTGTCTCACCTGGGACTCTCCACCCCCATCTGCCTCTGGATCAAGGACTTCCTGACAAATAGACCACAGTCTGTCAGACTCGGCCCCCACCGGTCCAGCACCATCACACTCAGCACCGGGTCTCCACAAGGATGTGTTTTGAGTCCCCTCCTGTTTACGCTCTACACATCCAACTGCTCCCTACCCATCTCTCAAACACCATCATAAAGTTCGCGGATGACACCACAGTGGTTGGACTCATCTCAAGGGGGGATGAGTCGGACTACAGAGATGAGGTCAACAGACTGACTGAGTGGTGTTCAGTTAACAACCTCCAACTGAACACCACGGAAACGAAAGAACTTATCTTGGACTTCAGGAAGGGCAGAGCAGACCCGGCCCCACTTTACATTCACGGGAGCTGTGTGGAGAGGGTACACTCCATGAGGTTTCTGGGCGTGCAGATATCTGATGACCTCTCCTGGACTGCAAATACTACAGCGGTGGTTAAAAAGGCCCAGCAGCGTCTCCACTTTCTGAGAGTGCTCAGGAGGAACAACCTGGAGGAGAGGCTGCTGGTGACATTTTACAGAGCCACCATAGAGAGCATCCTAACGTACGGCATAACAACATGGTATGCAGGGTGCTCAGCTGCAGACAGGAAAGTACTGCAGAGGGTCCTCAACACAGCCCAGAAGATCACTGGCTGCTCTCTGCCCAGCCTGGAGGTCACTGCAAACTCTCGGTACCTCAGCAGAGCTGGCAATATCATCAAGGACCACTCTCACCCCAGCAACCAACTGTTTGAACTATTACCGTCAGGCCGACGGTACAGGTCACATAAAACCAGGACAAACAGATTCAGGGATAGCTTCTTTCCCAGAGCTATCACCGTAGTAAATAAGCACAAAAACAATCGAACCTATTCCATACCGTCACTGTCATTATATTATGCTGCTATTCATACTGTCATTATATTAATGCTGCTATCCTGTATATATTGTACATACTATTGTTTGAGTACTTACGATTGTTTTTTTTGTACTTTTTATATTTTACATTTATATTTATTATTGAAACTTGCACCAAGGGAGTGGCACTCCAATTTCGTTGTACTCTGTACAATGACAATAAAGGCTATTCTATTCTATTCTATTCTATTCTATTCTAAAACTCTGACTATAAAATATCTTCCACAGCATTACACTGGCAGCCTGAACAGGACAGGATGGATCCATGGAAAACTCTGACTCTACCACCTGAATGTCCCATCAGAAATTGAACAAAAAAAAAAAAAAAAATCAACATTTTTCCAATTACTGTTGTCCAATTTTGGTGAGCCCGTGTGAACTGTAGCCTCGGTTTCCTGTTCTTAGCTGACAGCACCTGGTGTGGTTTCCTGCTGCTGTAGCCCATCTGCTTTAAGGTTTGACATGCTGTGCATTCATGCTCTTCTGCACCTTGGCTGTAAAGAGTGGTTATTTGAGTCAGTATTGTTTTCCTATCAGCTCAAAACAGCCTAGCCATTCACCTCTGACCTCTGCCATCAGTGAGACTTTTTCAGCCAGAGAACTGCTGCTCACCAGATTCTCTTTTTTGGACCATTCTCTAAAAACCCTAAAGATGGTTGTGATGGAAAAAAATGCCTTTCTTTCTCATTTAACTTCACCAGGTCATCTTGACCATGTCTACCTGGCTAAATGCACTGAGTCGCTGCCACATGATTGGCTAATGAGATATTTGCAGCAATAAAAAGCTTAACACATGTACCCAATAAAGTGGCCATGACTGTATAGTTTTTGAAAAGGGTGATGTTAGAACTGGTGCTGATCTGTACTCATCTTTTACTATAACAGTAAAAACAAAGCAGAAATCCCAAGTAGTAAATCTTGCATTAAAACTTAATTTAAAAATTATGAGAGACGGTGTGTAAAATTAGCAGTGGACACAATTATCGTTTGCAATATTAATCGTATATGAGGCGTCCAAAGCTGTGGATAAAGGTGGAGGAGTAAGGTGTAGATTTACTCCAAAATGTAGAGTAAAGCATGAGGAAGTACAACAAAAAGGGATTTACCTACTTTAGTGATGCACAGAGAAGACTGACCCTGCAAAAGGTTAAAAAGCCAAAACAGTTTTCTGGTTTTGTGAATGAAGCTCGGTGTGCTGGAAAAAGGTTGCACAATGTGTTTTTGACTTTCTTTAAAGCAGTTTGGGATTTTTCACACTGGGTGGTACAGGACCTCTGGGCTCTGGCAGGACACGCTGCACCACCTTGACCTCAGCGCTGGCATCTGAATCTGACAGGTAGAACAGAAAATTCGATCCAGGACAACAACAACAACAACGTAAACTGCCTCACGTCTCCCTTCGTTCCCCCCTACGTGTGCCTGCTGGTGGGTAGCTGTTCAGTTTGTGGAGCAGAGAGCTGTGGAAAGATGGCGGTTTCACACAGCTGTCAAATGGAATAGAAGTAACTACTGGGTTTGAGCAGAGGGGATCCTCTCAGGCTGTGGCAGAGGTAAGGGGGCTCACTCACTCCCACTGCTGCCTCTCCGCACTGGGAGTGGTCTTTCCTCTACTGGGGATTAGGCCA